CAGGTGACTGGTGCACGGCATGCTCCTCGGGGCTGCACGGGGCTGCGCCCCACTCCAGGCCACTCAGCATCCGGCACCGCAGTGCCTGCGCAAGCAGGGCTCAGTGTGTGTGGGGCCTGTGAGAGCCTGGCCCGAGGCCCCCCTGGACACGCAAGTTTATTTACTTGTCACTCGACGCAGCAGCTGGGTGGCCGTAAGGTACAAATGCCACCCTGTCTGTCAGCTTCACCCATGCATGAGAAATTCGAGTTACCAGTGACGCGGTCCCGCCTGGGAGAGCCCACGGAGAAGAGATGGGCGCCGAGCCCACCAGAAGCACTGGTTAAAATCCCCACACCCCATCCCACCTGAATCGGGACTTCTGGGTGGGCGGGGGATGCCAGTGCATGGATGCCCCCACCGACAGCTGGAACACAGAGGCCCCAAGCCGCCCCCTCCCGTCAGAGCTGCTGCTGGTTTCTTTTTGCTTGTTCAAGGAAACCGAGAGTCTTAACTTCCCGAGGCTTGCCCAGGACTCTGAGACACATGCAGCCCTGCACCCAGCCCTCTGTTGCTTCCTGCGGTCAGAGCGGAGCACCTCTATGCCCTTGCCTGTGGCCTAATGGGGCCCCTTTGCTGACCCCTGGCCTTTGCAGGCTCTCACTGTCACGAGCAGCACCCCCACGCACGTGTGTTTATTTATAGGAGATGTTTCTGGAGGTGGAGCTGTGGGTCAGAAGGTGTGCCCACTGCAGCCTGGCCTTCCCTGTCACACTGCCTGTCCCAGGCTCCGACAGTATACACCCCGACCAAGAAGGGAGGGTGGAGAGGAGGCTGTAGGCTGGGACATCGGTCAACCTCTCCCTGTGGCCACGAATCAGTTCAGTCAGCCCTGAGGCCCAATAAGCCAGGTGAGCCACCGACAAAGCCCCTGGGTGGGGGGCCCTTCCCCAGAAGGGCGGTGCCAAGTCCCGCGGCACAGCAGGAATTAGGGCCTCTCTCCCCCAGGGTAACTGCTTCTCAGGGTGAAGTCCTGGGGCTGATCCCCACGACCCATCTTCTGTGCAGGCTGAGTTCTCTACCTCTGGTCCCTTCTCTCCTACTTGTGACAGAGCCACAGACTTCAGGCTGCCCACCCCACCCAGCACCAAATGCCCCTCCCTGAGACATTCTCCCTGCTGTTGGCTATCCCGCCTCCTCCTCTCCCTCCTGGACCTCAGCCCCTAGGCTTCAGAGAGCAGGGCGATCTGGGTGCTGGCTTTGAAGAAATGCCTCCCCCAAGGCCACCTTACACAACCAGCCTACTCCCTGGTCCAAGGGTCGAGCCGATGGGTGAGCCAAGGCCTCCCGCGCTACCGTGTTGCCGCGGACCCCTTCCCCTCTCTTCAGAGGCGAGCGTGCAGCTCTGGCGGGAGGGGTCGGGCAAGAGCTGCCCGGCAGCGTGTCAACTCCAGGCTGTGCAGCTGCGAGCAGTCGGCAGCCAGGCGGAGCCCAGGGGCACCCTGGGCAGGAGGGAGGGTGGGCGTGAGGCAGGGTGCTCTGGTCCACATGGCCGCACCACCACCTCAGGCAAGTGGTCCTCACCTCTCCCGGGTCCCTGGGAATCACCCCTGCGACAGCCACTGGCTGCTCACCCTCTCAGCTTCTCACCCCATGGGCCATCCACACCCAGCAAGGTGGCCTTTTAACGCAGAGCTGACCCGACACTGCCGAGCTCTCCCCGCTGCTCTGGGAATACACACCCCAGCCTCGGCCATCCTGCCCCTGCCCAGCGCAGTCCTCTGCATTTGCTGCTGCCCAGGCTGGAACGCTCTTCCTCGTGTGGGTGCCGCACACACAGAGGCCGCCCTCCCCACTTCTGGCTCAGACACCTCTGCAGCCCTCGTCATGCTCCGTCGTTATTATGTCACTTGCTGCGTATTTTCTCTCTTTCCCAACAGAACGTGAGCTCCACGAGGGTGAGGGCCCTGCTGTCCTCAGCTGTGTCCCTGCTGCCTAGGGCAGGGCCCGCTGCTTAGACCCCTCTGTTGAACGGAGCTTTCTAACATGCAAGCTCCACCATGCCTGGCCCTGCCCTGGGGGCCCGCATCCGCTGTGGCGAATCCAGAAGGCCCTACAGCCCACACGAAACCCTTCCCGACTTCATCCCCCAACAGCCCTCCAGGGCCTGAGCGGCCCCCCCCCCCCCCCCAGGACCCCCCAACCCAGGGATTCTTTTCAGACAGTCCCTCTGCCCAGGTGGCATCTCCACCTCAAACGCCTGTGACCCGCTGTCTCCCCATGCCTGTGTTCAGCCCTCCCAGCTCAGCCCTGGGCAGGGAGTGGGGTGTGGGCCCCTGGAAGACGGTGCAAAGCACGGCCACCACCCCACTCAGCCTTGCTCTCTCAGCCTCAGTTTCCTTATCCATGAAGTGGGGTTGTGATGGGCTGAATTGGTTCCCCTCGCAGCGCCCCCCAATTCACTATGTTCAGGTCCTCTCCCCCAGTACCTCGGAATGTGACTGCCTTTGGACACGGGATCTTTGCAGAAGTAATTAAATTAGTATGAGGTCCTATGAGTGGGCCCTAATCCAATAGGACTGGTGATCTTGGAAGCAGAGGAAAGTCGGACACAGACATGCACAGAGCGGAGACCACGGGAAGACACGGGGGGAGGACGCTGTCTACAAGCCAAGCAGAGAGGCCTCAGGAGAAACCAACCCTACCTATACCTTGATCTCGGACTTGCAGCCTCCAAATCTGTGAGACGATCAGTTTCGGCTGTCTAAGCCACCCAGTCTGTGGTATTTGTTACGGCGGCCCTAGCACACTCACACAGGGTAATAGAGCACCGGCTGTGCACGGCTGCCGGAGCCGGGCTCGGCCTGGGATGGGCTGCCTGCTTTCGTAAATCAAGCGTTACTGGTCTGCCAATGCCAGGCCAGGCTGGCGCAGCTCCAATCCCTAGAGGTCAGGACAGCTTGCCCCTATGGGCCCCACTAGGAAACCGAGGACCCCTGACTGCAGCTCTCTGCTCTAACAGAGCCACTCGTATGTCCTGTGAGCAGCGTGGTGGGCATGTGCAGCCCCTGGGCAACAGTGTCCTCCCCTTGAACTGCTGAGTTGTGTGCACTGGCCGCCACCATCCTGCTTCCTCAGTGCCTCCAGGCAGCCTCCTTCTGCAGGGTGGAGTAGCACCACGCCCCAGGTGTGCTCCACACCCACCACAGAGTCCCCCTGCAGGGCGCACCAAGATGCAGACCCCGCCTCGCTCTCCAAACCCCAAGCCGGGGCATCACTGGGGCTTGATCGTGGACGGACAGACATGTTCCCGAGTGAACTATGCTCGGGGGGTGGGGGGGTGGCCTGAAACACCTGCAGCCTTCTCTGGGCCCAGGGTGATGGGTCCTCACCTGCGAACTGAGCCGGTATAATGTGTGCCTCTGGCAGGGGCACTCTGGGAGACGCGGTCCTGAGGGGTGGTGACACTGAGGGAAGGGACACTGACCTCAGCGGGCACAGTCCCTGCAGCCTGGCCACCGCGGCCTCCTTCCCATAGCAACTAGCGACTTCCACCATGCTGACCGCCCTGCACTGTCCAGCACGGCCAGTCTCCCCCGGCCCTGACACAGCCTTTCCCTTCCCCTGGAAGACCCTTCTCCAGGGCTCACTCCACCCCCGCAGGCTTCCCCACTGCCCTGTCTACCTCCCGTGCACCAACCTGTCTTGGTCTAGCCTCCAGCACACCTGAGGGTCAGCTCCACGTAGGCGGGGCTCAGCACACTGCAGGTGCCAGTAATACCACCCCCTCTTCCTGGTGGGGGTCCTCATGGGCGGGGTGCCACCACCCAGGCTCCACAGGGCCATCCTGAGGGGCCTGAGGCCTTTGGGGGAACCCCACTGATGAGCCAGGAAGGCATCTGGCTTCCCTCCTTTGCAAGAAAGGGCAACAAGTATTCATCGGTGCACTCTTGGGCTAATTTTTTTAAAATCAGAAACTAAAAGAATGGACCAAATAGCAAAATCCAAATCCAATTTAAAGTAAGAGTTGCCAGGGACAGGCTGAAAAGCCCAGGGCCCAGAGCAGCCTCCGGTTCCAGCAGCAAGTCCAGGGTGGACGGCTGCTTGACTTCCTGGAGCACTTCTTGCAGGAGCTGCTCACAAAGGGCAGACATCTGAGCCGGGATAAGTGGGTCAGTCGACCCCAGCCAGGCCCTGAGAGCGACCACAACAGTCCAAATGTTCAAATAAACACATCATCACCCACTTGTGCGCTTTTCTTTTTTTTCCTTTTTCAATTAAGAAGACCTTCCTCCCCTGCTTTGGGGAATTTTTTTTTTTTTTAATCAGTTTTTGGTGGGGGGTGGGGGGCAGTTAAGAATCCAGCCAGCTAGAATGTCAAGTTGAGGTTTCCGACAAGCAAAGAGATGATCGGGGAGATGAGAACTGTCAATCATGTCAAGCACAGCCCAGGACTGGTTTTACTCTGCTGCCGAAACCGTTGTTATTTAGAAATCATGACTGTGTTAATATGAAACCAGGGCACATCAACTGCTCCTGTTTTCGGGGGCGTGAGGGGGAGAAAAACAAACGGTTTTTTCTCGGTTATCTGTTTTTGCGCTCAGGCACAGAGGCTGAATTATCGGACCTGGCACGTGCGAAATCGGTGGCATCCCCGGATCGGCCTGACACGATGCTCACGAGCATAGGCTTCTTACAAAGAAACCCTCGCCCTGATTGCCCTTGGTCCAAACTTCCCACTCTGCGCCCCCGTTTATTTTTAGCAGCTGCACTTTTAAAACATTCTGGGGCTAGTTCCTGCTTTTATGTAACCACTTCTGCTAACTCTTTAATTGTTTTTTTTTTTTTTCCAATTTTCTGAGGTGTTGCTCATCTCAAACGGGACAAAGTAACTCGATCTGCCTCCGTGCCCCCTGAGCAAAGTCGGCTGCCTGGCTTTATGCCTTTCCATGGCTCCGGGTACTGAGAGTAAGGAAAAAGCTTGACTGGGCGTGTTTCAGTGAAGAGAGCACAGATCACCCTTTTTTTTTTTTTTTAATTTTGGTATAAAGCTAACCAGGATGATACCTGGCCTGTCATTCCTAGACACCTGCCCAGGGAAGGGAGCCCTGAGCGTAGGGGAGGCTGTGACTGCAGAGGCTGGAGCCTGTGACTTCCAGCCCTGGGGGCTGGCTGGAAGCTGCTGCCGCGCCCCCCAGAGAGACTCTCCATCACTCAGAGGAGTCTTCATGACCAGAGGGAGGAACGCAAGGTTGAGGATAGGACAGAATAGGACTTATTTCAAACCGCAGCAGTTTCAGCAGCTACCCCAGCGGTGCACCGAAACCACACACAGGACAGCCTTGAGCAAAAACAGTATGAACCCGATGGTTTACCACGGTGTGTGCTGTTAAAAAAAACTTCGGTGGCCGGCCCCACCCTGGTAGCAATGTCTTTTATTCCCCTACTTCTGAACTTTCCGAGGCCACACAGGCCCCCGGCAACCCAGCAGTGGTGAAGCCCGTGCCGACCCTCCCTCCTCGCCTCTCGGGAAGCTCTCTGCCGGGAGGGTCCCTGCAGCGGCGGTGAGCGGAGAGAATGATAGAACACAAACCCCCCTCAACATACAAATGTGAACACTGAAAGAAGCCAGGTTCTCTTGCTTGAAATTCTTTACTTAGAAGAAAAGTAAGAGGGTTGGGTGATTTGGGGGTGGGGGGTCTCAATAAATCGGATGAATGAAAATATCAAAAATAGACATGAGTCTGAGTGTATGTTTTCATCCCAACCAGATACTTGCTGCGTTCTATTTATAAGATTGAGGGCTGCAGTTGGGAAATGCAGTTCTGTAGATGAGACTTAAATACAAAAACAACAAAACACAAAAATAAAAAACAAAGGTTTGTGGTCAGGACAGCTGCCCCACCTGAGCTACTACCCTACACAACACAGGACGTTCCCAAACTGCCATTCGTTGCAACGCGGGACGTCCACACAACTGTCACTCGTCCTACACTACGGGGGACGCCTACACAACAGTCACTCATCCTACACTACAGGGGACGCCTACACAACTGTCACCCGTCCTACACTATAGGGGACGCCTACACAACTGCCAGGCTTCCGAGAGTCGTACTACACAGGAGAGCTGTGGCTGGGAGGAGGCACTCCTTGTCACCTTGGTGCCTCCCTTCCTGCCCCCTTAAACCCACCAACAAAGCTTAACTGGGGGGAGAGAGAAAGCAGGCTGTCCGGAGCACAACCTTTCACATCCATAATCACTTGGGAACATTTTACTGAAGAAGATCGCTTTTCACCAACACACGTGAAAAACACACGTCCCCCTGTGGCGGGATGGGGCGGGAGAGCGAGGAGAGCTAATTTCTCAGGACGTGACCCACAGGGCCACCCAAGTGGCTTGCCAGCGAGGAGTCCTGCAGACACCAGCCCCGCTCGCTGTGGCTGATGCACACGCGAGGAGAAGGCAAGCCCGGCAGATCAAAGCCATGCCAAGCAGCACAGTGCCGGCAGATAAAATCTGAGGTCCCCACCATCACAATCTTGAGATTTTCCACTAAAAATATTTACCGAATTTTAAGAAAAATCTGCTTAATGCATTGAAGGGAACAGGATGAGGTTTGGTTCTGAACTGTTGAGAAAGGCTGAACAAATATTTACTATCATCCACCGGGTGCCCCCTGAACTGATGCGTTTTTCATTCTCTGTGAGCTGCCCAGGGTAGTCAAGGCCGAGGAGCCCACTGGATGTGAGGTCTTCGCACTGTCGGAAGGAAAAGGAGAGAAGGGGGAAAAGTTGCCACACTTTTAGGGTCCCCAAAAGACAAATATCCTTTGGACTGAAAAATACAATTTTCAAGGTTTCCACGAAAAGCTCCTAAGACATTCATAAGAAACCTGACAGGGGCTACTTTAGTTCTGCAGCAAAAACAGGGAGTGGGTACATGACATATAAACGAATTTACAAATCACAAATCAGTCTTTGCAACTAAAATAATGCAGACTGGCAGGTCTCACAGTTCTGCTTTTTGAAAAATCATATTTGTTCTTTGATTTGCGCCTGCAACACACTCTGCTGAATCAGCCCTGTGTGCTGGCTTGCCTCGTCCCTCTGAGGGGCCTAGGGTGCCTTGCGGGGGGACAAGGGAGATGTTAGCTACAGCCTGGTGGGGAGAGCCCTGGGGCCGCGGTGGCCCAGGCTTTGTTCCTCCGTATAGAGCAGTGCCAATGCTGCCAGAACGCCACCACTGCACGGGCAGAGAGGCGCCGTGCCCACATTTAACAAAATCCCCAGGGTGCCACACGGCGGGTCTGGAAGCCAGTTTGAAGGCACTTGTGCACTGGAGGGGGGCGTGCAGAGCCCACCCGGAGCCCCCTCCCATTGTCGGGGCCGCATGAAAGGAGCCAGAGAGCCTGCAGTAGATGGGGGACCCGCCCACTCTCACTCCCTTTACAGCCAGTTCCCACCACCCACTCAGATACACACATGTGCTGTTTTTCAACTGACAATGGCGGCGGCCGGGGGTTGACTCAGTGCTCTGAATGTGAGAGATGAGGGACCACATTCACCCCATCAGAACAGCAAGGGCTGCACAAGGAACATCTTCCTGGGCCCCCTCACCTTGCTGTAGGTGGAACCAAGGGGCTGCAGGAGGCCTGGGGGCAGGTACACGAGGCACCCCCCGGCGGCCGGGGAGGGGGCCACGGTCAAGGTGGCAGCTGCTGTCTGTTCACACGGATGCACAGACACCAGAGAGGGGAGTCCACACTCTCTGGGCCTGCACCCTAACACGAGGCCCTGCTATACCCCGCCACCAGAGCCCAGCTGGCTGAGCCCTGACTCCTCTGCTCCAGAACCCCAAGCCTGGGCACTTGCACCCCGCTGAACGATAGGCAACAAGAGCGTCACTCAACTCCCACTCAATCCACCGCTCGATTCCGGGTGCAGGAGGGTGGGCGTGTGCTAAGGTAGGCAAATGCTTCTATTTTCGAACTCTGCCAACTTTGAGAACAGAAATTCACCCCAAAGAGCAATTCATCTCCAGGCGTTTTACAGGTTAAGAAGCTGAGAGGACAATGGCTTTTCTCCCTCTGCTGGGAGCCGGCTCTCGAGCACACGCTGGCAGGGGTCCCGCCCAGCCCTGGCACAGAAGCTCCCGGCGGGCAGGGGGTGGCCGGCGGGAAAGGAGGACTCCGCCAGGCTGGGCGCCTGAGGCTCCCCTGGAGCACCCCAACCCTGGCTGGCTGGCAACTGCCACAATTTTCCAGGCTCCTCGAGCTGGCAGTGAACTGCTTTTGTCCCGTTCTAGAACTTAACAGGTACCCACCAAATTATCTCTCTGAAATCATCGTGGGAACGGAATTAAAGTAGTTAAGCTCAAGGTTGAGGTGCTAACCGCACGGCTCAACTGGCGAAGCCATTTTAAGAGTGGATCTTGTGCAACAAACAAGGGGACGGAACCCACACGGGCCAAGGATGACCACCCTGGTTTCACCCCCAGCCTGGCATCTCAGAGCCAAGCACACACCTGGGCTGGCGCCACGGATGAACCGGGGGCGTCCTCCCTGACCGAGTCCTGTGTGGCAGCTCCTGGGACGGTCAAGCGGACCACCGAGCCAGCGGGCTTGGCCCAAGAGTGGGCAGCAACCAGAAAACCGCCCAAGAGAAAGATCCCACAGCCAGTCACCCTGTGTGGAGTCAGTCACAGCTGTGGGAGGGGACTCACGTTCTAGGGGGGAAATGATTATTTATCTATTTACTTTTTGAGAATCACTTGAACCAAACAGGAGCCCGGTTAAACGGTCTCCCGTTGTCCTGTGTGTGTTGGAAGAATTATGGGAAGGGGAAGAGGGGCAGAAAGACATCACCAGTGTGTGCGTGGTTTTATCCTGAAGGTGCAAAGGTTATTAGCAGTAATAATAATTAAACTGGGGAAAGGTTAAAGGTGACTGGCTGGTTAGCGGTGAAGGCGCGCTAGCTGGTGTCACCCGGGCGCTGCAGGAACCGCAACGCGGGGCTGCACTTGCAGGAAGTGGCAAGGGTGGGGCCCGGGGCACAGGATCCCGCTATCTGTCGCCGCAGGCGCGAGGCCCAATCACTGACACCCACACAGCCATTTCCTGCACTTAAAAAAAAAATCTGTTTCTCCCTTTGCAAATCAACAACTTTTACCTAGAAACTCTTTAGCGGTGAGTTCTGACTGATCTCGATCTCCGGTCCGTTGCAGAAAGCACACCGCTGTTTACCTGGGGGAGGTGTGCCAGCGCTAACTCTAACTGACAGGTTTCGGCGGCTGCCAGAACGGTCTGTTTTGCATCTGCCTAGAAGAAACCAATTCTCTCTACCCCAAACAGACACCTGCTGGTCATTTCATACCTTGATAGACTTTTCTAGAAAAGACCTCCAGGCACAGAGAACTCAGCGCTGATGCCAAAGCTCCGTGCACATGCCACAGAGGGCGATTCTTGACAGCCCCCAAAGGTCCACTTTCTGGCTTGGGTCAGAGCAGACGGCCAGCCGCGGGCTGCGCCGGTCACACACCTATGGCACCAGAACTCTTTCCCAGAGAACCCTGGGGAGGGTCCCAGTTGGCAGGATCCCCACCGTGACTGCACAGGCTGATGCTTATATACGTTTGTTTGTCGCATGTCAGTTAACCTTTAATCAAGCTTAAAAACACAAACAAAAAACCAGCTCCCACAGAATGTAAAAACTGAAGCCGCTGGTACACAAGAGATGGCACCCCAAACACCAGGAGTAACTCAGACCCAAACGTGCATTTGGTCCCATGAGTGACGACAGCTGAGCTTCGCCAGAGGGGACCCTGGAGACCTCTTTGAAGTTCAACTACCCACGCTCTGACTTTTTTTCAACTGCAAAGGTTTCTGCTAAACTGCAATCTCATGGGGGAAAAGGATCCCTTGATAAATCCCTGTACGCATATGTCCACCTCAGGCCCAGCCTCTGTCTTTCCCGGGAAAGGAGCTAGGGAAGGAGGACCCCGAGTCCTGGTCTCTGTACCCTGGGGATGGGTTGGGGGATGCACACCATGCCCATCATGGTAATCACTGTGCAAGGCACTTACCAGAGAGGCCACATGCTAGGCCAGAGTTGGTCCCATGTCCAGGCAGGGAAACTGAGGTTCGGCGAGGTTAAGACACTTGCCCAGAGCCCCTCAGGGAAATGGAAGCGGCTGGAACGTGAAACCATCCTGATCACACAGCCTCTCGGGATTCTAGTGGGACAGGTGGCCCAGATGCTGGAGGGATATGGCATCAGATTCGCCTGTCCTGGCCTCACACATCGGAGTCGACTCCAGACGCAAAGGCCTGGCAGGGTTCTAGAAACCTCTGGGTCCCCTGCAGACCAGCCTCAAGTGGGAATGTGGCCAATCAGACCCATTTCACATGCGGGGCGGCGAGGGTTACAGAACAGCCCATTCCTTCCTCTTGGTATTTGGAGTGCAGGTATGAAGCTGTGTGTGTGGGTTGTGAGAAAAATCATTATCACGCAGCAGGCTGGACTGTCCACTCGCCTACCTTCGCGGGATCACAGCTCGACCGCCAGGGCCACACGTCCCCGGGAGCAGGGTACCTGCCTCATCTCCTCCCGGCTCAGCCGCCTGGGACCAATGCTCCCCCACGTGTCAGGATGGCCCCTGAGCGTGACTGCCCGGCGTTGCCACGTGCTGGCCACACGGCCCCTCGAAGCGGGAAAAGGCTGGGTCAGCAAGACGAGCAGAAAAGCACATTCCATCCCCTCCCTTGCAAACTGCTGGACTTTTGTTTTCTTACAAAAACAACGACAACAACAGCTGGACATCTTCTTGGTTGCTTCTCATCTTTAGCAGCCAAGAGAACAAGAGCCAGGCCTGATGCTTTCATAACAACCGTTCTGAGTGGGACTTCCTCCAACTCTCCTCTGCTGACCCGTCTTGCTAAGAACCAGATAACTGCCAGGCGGCTCCGGTTTAAGTGGCCTTGCTCCTTGCGGCCTGGATGGGGGAGGGGAGAGCAGGGTGCACAGCTGGGCTCCAATTCCCTCAATCAGGGAAGCAGCGTGGGGTGGACACCTTCCTGCGCATCCCTCAAAGAGCCAAACGCCCCCCACCCACCTACATCCACCTGCTGGGTCAGGTGTCCCTCGCGGGTACATCGGCATCGGCACAGCCAGCAATTTCCAGGTTGTTAGAGGTTAGTATGAAATCACAGCAGAAACACCACTGGAAGTGCTCCAGGGGCACCCGCCACACAGTGTGTACCTACCACCCAGCAGTGTGTACAACGCAGGGATTTCCTGTTCAGCCACTGCTTCTAGGTAAGAGAATCAGATGAGAGACATTTAGGCCTCTACGCAGACACATTGTGGCCACTCACAGATTAAGCACTGCACACAAGCTGACTACTGTCCAGAGCACCCGAACCTCACAGCTTGATTGTCACTACAGCTGTCTATGGGGGTGGGAGGCCGGCAGGGGGGCGGTGGTGGTCCCTGGGTCCAGGGCTGGTCCTGCTACCACCTTGCTGCGTGACCTTGGGCCACACGTGACCTCTCTCACTTCCCTTTCCAGTTCCGGTAAGAGGGCATCATGGTGCCTGCCCCGTCTTTGCGGGTCTTGCTAGAATCTGGCAAGCTAACAGTCATGCACGTGCACCTTGAGGGCTGTGATGTGAAGACGATATTCGGGGCACCCGGCACCCTAGCAGGCTGTGGCACAGCAAGGTTGCGGCAGCCCAAAGCCACGAGCAAAGGCAGCCTGAGACCCCCGGCATACAGGGCCAAACCTGCCCAAACGTGGACAGCGCTCTAAAAAGCCCGAGCCCTGAAGTCAGCTCCAAGGAGGTGAGCCGTGCCTCTGGCGGGCTCTGCTTTCTAAGTCCACGGCACACTGAAAGCAGAAGCCAAGGCGGGGTGGAGAGGCTCGCAGAGGGAGACACAAGGGGAGGTGACAGCGGAGGGCAAGTTCAAAAGCACCCAGCATTGGTTCAGGGAAGGGGAGGAGGCTGAGATGAGTGTTTCCAAGAAACCCCGAGAATGAAGCTCTGCGCCTGCCACAGCCAGTGAGGGGAGCAGCTCCTCCACGAGGCCCGACAGATGCCGAGCTGCTGGGCACGTGTGCACTCGTGTGTGTGTACTTTCACGTGTGCAGTGTGCATGCAGGTGTATGCAAGCACTGTGCAAGCGTGTGCACGAGTGCAGCATGTGACTGCGTGTGCACGTGTGTGTAGGTGTGCTGTGGCTCCCATCTTTGAGGCAGAGTGAGAAGGCCCGATGTCATTCCATCAGGAGACCGTCAGGGGTTCCCTAAGGGCCACTGCCTCTAAGGTATATATAAGCGGCCTCTCACAGACACAAGGGAATTCCTTTGTTGTTTTTGCTTTTCTCCCCCGTTTTATGATAAATGCCTTTGATGCGTGGCTTACAGAAGCGATCTCTTTATGTGTGTGTTTCTGCTCACAGTTCACATTAAACCTGTTATAAATTCATCCCGCCTGTTGGTCGTGCTTTCTCTCATGACCCATCCACAAGGAGGCCAAACTGGGCCCTGCGGGCGGAGTTCCTGTACTCCTGAGAGAAAGCTCTGGCCAGCCCAGGTGACAGAAAGGGAGAGGGAGCATTTTTAAATAGCTTTTCCCCTCTGTTTGGCTCCAGTGGCAGGTGTAGGAAGACTGGCCAGCCTTGGACTGATGACCCCTTGAAACTAGAGAGCTTGGGGGCCTGCACCGATGACCACAAGGTGCCAAGACGAGTCCCCGGGGCCGACTGACGGGGAAGGGCGAGCTCGGGCGGGAAGGAGAGCACCGTCCCCCCGACAGAAAGGACCAGGGAGAGGAAGGCTGTGGAACAGAAGGCGCGACCGAGGGAGCCTGTGGTTCTCCTGAGGCCACCCAGAAGTCTAAGGACAACATAGGTGACTCTGCTGGGAAATGAGCGCGAACGATGAAGAGGGGACAGATAAATGGACTGGGAAATTGCAGTGAATCTCTCTGCCGCTTGGAGCAATAGCTTTCTGCTTTTGAGTCTGGTAACCTGGCCTGTTGGCCTATCGCCATCACGTAAGAGAGGTCCCCTGCATGAGCTAACAGTCCTCAGCATCCTCAGGGGGACATGCCAGGCTCACCCCTGAGAGAAAGCAGCCACACCACCGCAGCCATGAGAGGTAGAGTCTACAGGAAACCCCTTGCTCGGAGCCATCCACCTAGATGCTGGGGCCGGAGCGGAGGAGAAGGGAGCCCCGAGCCATCCTGCCTCCTCTCACATCAAACATGGCCAAGGTAGACGCCCCACCCCCCACCCCTCCCCAAGTCCTTAACCAGTCTGGAGGCACTGGATTGAGTGGAGGCCTCAGCCACTGCTGCTGCCGTCCCCACCCCTGGGCCCTCCCTGAGCCAACCTGGGAAAGAGCTTGGGTCGGGTGGGGAGGCCGGAGGGGCCACGACTGCATGCTGAACCGGGGGCCATGCGGCAGCTCTCCCGACCGCAAGGAGGGCTCTGAGCTCTTGGCCTTCCGGAGACCACCCTGGAGCCCCACACAGAGCCCGGAGCCAAGAGGCCCAGAGGACGAGGCGAGGGCAGGTGGGGCGGGAAGCACGTCCCAGGCACACAGTGTGTGCGGACCCAGGCGACGGGCCGGAGGAGAGACCCTCCCGCTCTGAGTGCAGGCCCTGCAGCGTCTGCTCTACTCTGGGCTGGTGAAAGGAGGGGCCCTCAGTGCCCCCGCTGCCTGGCGACGGTGGGCGGGTGGCTGTGAGAGAAGAAAGCGTACTGACCGCTGGGCGGTTTAGGCCGCGGAGGAGCAGGTTTCTTCGGAGGCAGAGCGGGAGTGTCCTGTTTACTTTTAAAGGGGTCATCTGAGCATCCTGCCCCTCCAAAGGAGGAGGTGAAAGGGCCAGAAGTTGGGGGCTGTAAGAGAGGACACGAAAGAGAGGCAGAAATAATCATTAACACGGAGGCAGCGGACATCCACCGAGCCCTCCGGGCTTGCACAGCATGGCCGCCACTCGGGCCCAGGGTCTCTCACAAGCCCCCCCCACTTTCCTCCACCCTCAACAGCCGGGGTCCTCTGGCCAGTGAGGAGCAGCCAGCAAACACACAGAGCAGGCGAGAGTAGCCCGGTGCCTCGATGGGCTTCTGACATGGGGTGGGGGTGGGGTGCTTCCTGCCACCCACAGGGGGATATCAGGTCTCTCCTGACCCCAGGGTCCCCTGGGCTTCCTGCTCATACTTCAGAGATGCGCCCAGCCTCTCCCCCTTCAGTCAGTGTCAGGCGCTGGGTCAGAGCGGCACCAGACCCTCTCTGTGCCCGTGGGCTGCCTGACCCAGTGGCTCAGGTCAGAGCCCACCGCAGCCCCGTGGGCACAGCCATCACTGCCTCCAGTGGGCTCTTGTCACCTCTGGCCCGGACCCTCCCGCAGCCTCCTCCTGCTTCCACCCACCTCCACATCTACCACCTCAGACCCAGGAGGGACCATGTCAACCAGCAACAGAGAGATGCCTGGATAGATGGGTGGGCAGGTGGGTAGATGGGAAGGTACAGCTGCCAGGCAGGTAGGGAGCTAGGTAAATGGGGGGGTGGGTAGTAGCACTGAACAGCCCTGAAGCTTGAAGGTAACCTCCAAGCACTCCTCAAGTCACGCAGGGCCTCCCTCACAGCCCCTCACCACCCTACCCCCCTGCCACTGCCCAGGGCTTTAGCTTCATCCCTACAGTTGCCCCAACCCTCTCCTGGCCAGTTCCCCGGTGCCTGGAACCCCCTTGTGCCGCATCTCGAGGCCTCCATATATACAGAGTCCCCAACTGGGGGCTCAGCCCACCCCGTCCACCTCAAGCCCCTCTTCTTCCTCAGAGACTGGCTAGACCTCACTGCCACCCCCAGAGCTCTCCCTGACACCCCTTCCCACTAACTGACTGTTCGGACATCCTGGTGGGAGCTGACGGGACACACATCATCACGCCGCAGTGACGGGTACTCAGGCCCCTCCCACCTAACTGGGGCAAGTTGCCTGAAGGGCAAGTGCCAGTGACAGGGCACACACCTGCCAACTGCCTGCAGCGGGCAGGGACTTGTCTACCTGTGCACCCTCACCTGGAGCACCAGCACAGTACCAGGCATAACAAACCTCCACCGACAGACGGATGAGCACAGACAGCCAGAGCTGCACCCCAAAGGGAGGAGACTGCTTTCTACAGAGGTGGGAGACCACGTTTATGAAAAAGTAGAGCAAGGAGATTCATAGCTGCTAGACACTAAAGGAATTGGTGGACACGGGAATGAAAATGCTAATACGGTCCTCAAAAAGCAAAGGAAAGGAGACGCGCAGTGGGACAGGGTGGGCCACACGCAGCAGGGGTGGAGCGGTGGGGGTTGCGTGAGGAGGGGCACTTGCAATGCCCTCCCCAGTGGGGCAGGTCAAGGGACAGAAGACAAAGCAGGAACACAAGAGTGCACTTGTGGGACCTTCTTAGGTAATCCGGTTCCGACACATCACTGGAGAAGTGGGGAGAAGGGCTGATGCCAGTCACGGGGACGCGGCTCCCCCTCTTCCGGATCCGGTCACGGGGACGGGGATGCGGCCGCCTCTGCCCCTGGTACCTAGATACTAGCCTCAGGTGGGAGAGAGGCGGCCAGCCCACAGGGAGGAGGAGGGGGCCCGGAGTGGCTGCTGCACACTCAGCCAAGCCCACTGGGTGCCCTGGTTCCTCCCCACAAGCCTCTGGGGCCGCCAGGGTAGTAGACGCTCACTCGCCAGGGTAGGAGACGCTCGCTGATCTTCTCACCACATCTTCCCAACGGCCTTGGGACAAGTCCTACTGTCACCACTTCTACCTTATACACAGGGAAACTGAGGCACGGGGAGGAGATGCAGCCTGCTAGTCACACAGCACCTCAGCGGGGGAGTCAGGGCGGGAACCCACGCCGTCCACCTCCTGGGCCAGGGCTCTCAGGCCCTGCCCTTGGCTGCTGGCAGCCCGCCGCCCGCCCCCCACGGGAGGTCTGGGGACTGTCCTCATGCCCATGAGGGAGACATGCACAGATGCAGGCAAGGGGCAGAGCAGGGCAGAAGGCCCTGGGGAGGATGGGGTCTAATGGGAAAGACTCATTTCCCTGCCAAGACCACCTGGGCCCACCGGGAAGCTCTGAGCCAGAAGGGCTGCAATGGAGCGAGGAGGTCCCTCCCTCCACTGCTGCCACCCCCCTTTCCCAGGCTCTGTGACGCTTGTCCCTTTCGGTACAAAAGTCTGGGAGTCTCTGCAAAACCTGCTGCTCGAGTTTCCAGAACGTCTGCTGCAGAGCACAGTGGTTGGGATGGGATCTGGAGGCCCTGCTACCGGCTCCGTGCCTCTGTTTCCCCGTCTATGAAACAACGATAATGACAGGCCCCAGCTCGCAGGGCTGTGGCAAGAAAACGAAAGGTAATGCATAAATTGCTCCAGCTGGCACCTGGACTGCATCGGCACAAAGATAGCACGATTATTATCACGCCAAGGATGTGGATGTGACTAGAACTCTCTTGGATACCCACAAGAATCTGCAAACGCTCCATCGGCCACCGATGCTTCATTTCTGCTGCTTCCCGTCATTCACAGAGCCTTTCCCAGACGAAGAGAGCAGTAGAGCTAAGGTGCCGTGTCGACCAGCAGCTTAGCTCTAAAGTGAGTGGGTTAGGGTCTGCTGGTTGGGAAAGACGCAGTGGGGGCTAAGGACAGGGAGAGCGAGGGAATGCTGATGCCTCTGCTTCTGCCGTTCCCAGGACACAGCCTGGCTCTAGGACTTTTGCTACCCTCGCCACAACCTGAGACGGGCAAGGGGGAATCAAAACTAATCTTGACAGAGTGGAGGCGCGACCAGCCCCCGAGGCACCTGCGTGGGCCCCAGTTCTTGTCTTGGGTGCTGCAAAGGCGCCAGCTCTGGGGAAGGGGTATAGAGGGACACCCAGGGCTCTCTGGACGTGACCCCCCCAGAGTTGTGGGGTGCACGGGGCCCTTGTCCACCCAGCCCGTGCAACCCCCAGCCTGGAGCGCGAGCTGCAGTGAGCCTCCCGGCTGGCTGGGGACTCCACGGGCCAAGCCGGCTCTCCGCCCCCTCGTCTGTCTAAACCCACGGAGCCAGTGGGCCCGCTCCAAGGCAAAAGGGTTCCAACTGTAAGCGCCTGGTTCGCCCACAGCAGGGAATTATATCACTTCTGACACCAAAAAGCCTGCGTCATTTCCGAATCCTAATTTTCATGACTTGAAGTTTCCCAAGAAGCTTCCTTTGGGACCTGACTGGTTCCTACTCAGGCTGTGGCTTCAGGGAAAGTTGCTATTTTTAGAAGGGTTTCAGTAAAGCCAGTAGGGGCTCTCTGGCTGGGCTAGAGTGAAGTGTGCTCCAAAAAAAAAAGAAAGAAAAAGAAAAAAGGACAGACAGAAAAGCTACTATATGAGAAGCAGCTCTAAGAGATTCACAGTTTAAAGAATTGATTTAAAGCAAACGACTCTAAACTTAAAAAAAAAAAAAAAAAAGCCCTAAATAGGAACGCACGCTTGAAAAACAACTGAAAATGGGCTGACAATGGGCAGTCAAGTATTTCATAGGTGGTTTTTTTTTTAGGGCGGGAGTAAAATAATTAAGTTAGAGTCTTGTTTTTATTCTCAGATGCTCTCTGAAATCTATTCTGGGGAATGTGTTTTTAAAGCAAGGTAATACTGTCTAGAAAAATCTTCTCGGGTATTGAGGGACCTCAACGAAGGGTGCAAGCCCAGAGAACCTCCCAAAGGAATCTACTGGAGTCAGACTGCTGGCTGGCACTCTCCTCTAGCACTGCCAGGCAGAGGGAGGACACTCTAATTTAGGGTGAAGTTAAGAAAAGGAGCCAGCATGCATCGCCAGCGTGCATTGCCTCCCCACCCCACTCAGGTGGAGAAAAGATAGTGATGTTAAAACACACACACACACACACACACACACACACACAAACCAAGAAGTCAAAAAAAAAAAAAAACACCTTCTTGCCACTTACTTTCATTTCCTTCAGCATTTTATTTATATACACAATGTTGTTCTTGAAAAACAGAAAGGGAACCAAAAGGGAAACAGACCTATGAGGTTAGGGCCCTGTATTCAGTTGGGCAAGTGGCATGAGATCAGGAGCTGATGGAATCATGGAAACAAAACAATGGAGTACTGGAGACAAACTTTCCACGGCCCCATCCAGCTCCATCCCGCCCAGCGCCACGAACAGGAAGGGGCACTGGCCCTGAAGTCGCAAGTGCACGTGTGTGCAGCCTGATCTGGGACACGCGAACAAGGAGAGGGAAAGCGGAATTAGAAAGGGGAAAATGCAACCTTAGGTTAGAACGGGCAGAAGGAGGGAAGGGCCAGGTTCTGAACTGCCCAGCTCTGGGGTGTCTCTGCAGCTACGGGAAACACAGGCACTGCCTGGAGGAGGGAGACGCGGCCGTTCCTGCCATCCGGGGCCCCGCCAGGCTGGCCACGCCACACACAGCCTCAACTCAGGGGCTTCTTGAAACAGAGGACCCCGTTCGTGCCCTCGTCCTTGTCCCAGCTCAGGGGCACTGCTAGCTCTCACTCCCTCCTCGGCCTTGCGCAGGGAGAGGTCCCACTTGTGCCAGCTTGAGAATACAGTGCGAAGCCCTTCCCCGGAGACTGCCGCCCCCGTGTGGCAGAAGTTTTCTCATTTCAGGGGATGGTTTCCCACCCGCTAAGCACGGACAGAAGACAAGGACACATAGCTCCACTCAAGGAGTGTGTGTAACAGCCACGCAGTGACGGGCAAACATGAGGGCAAATCTCAGGCCCTGGTCCCTTCTGGCTGATCCCAGATGGCGCCCCGACCGTCAGCGTCACAGTTCCCATACGAGTGATGGAGGCTCATTCCCTCCAGGCACTGGAAGGAGAGAGGCCGAAACCCCAGCACTTCTGGGCTCCCTTCTGCGGCGGCCAATGGGCAAACAGATGCTCTGCCTCTGGCCAGAAGCTACATTTGCTACCTCAACAGTTTATACTCGCGTGTTTCTTTGAAAACATAAACAAAATCCCAAATGTTTCTTGGAAGCCACGCACCACAATCTCACGTTGCTAACCACGAGTGCTCAGCGCCCAGACAGTCGTGCGCCCCTCAGGCTGAGTGAACGTGGAGGAAACACGCAGGATGCCCTGAGGAGCTGGCACGCGGGGCGAGCGGTGCCCGGGACTCCCCGCCGTGGGTGCCCATCCCACACACTCCGGGGGGGCTCCCTCCCCACCCCACCCCCACCAGCGAGGAGACAGGAACCGTATCTGCATGTGGCCGCCCCCCAGTGCTCATGACACCTGGGCTGGAGCAGGCGGCCGGGACAGACAGGGTGGACTCAACAAAGAATGCAGGGCTTTATGGCTCCGCGGCCACACGCAGCGCTTTATCTGTGACGGATCCCACCCTCACCCACCGAGGCCAAGACGCACACACCTAACGCTGCTTCCCTTAATTCTTGGAAAAGAAACACGGGCTCACGGTCAAAACCAAGGGACACTAAAGGTTAGAACAAAGAACAGCAGACCTACTCGCCTAGGCCAACATTTTCAACTTCTTAGCAGTTTCTTCTGGAATCTACCTCTCAGTTGTGGGCCTCTACTCTTATTTCTTGATCTGTCCATTTTGGACATATCTACTGACTGACTTCCTGCTACGTTAAGCACCATCCTCCAAGCCCCTCTCGAAAGAGCTTTAACACCATCTGTGGGACTATATCCACAGTCAGTTTATGTAACTATGGCCGTGTAGGCACCATCCAGTCCAACCAGGAGTGCCTATCGTCCTTCCTGAAAGGCTCACTTTTCACCTGCATATTTATTCACCGAGCCTAGCCCTCGGTTTCCACATCCTTCTCGGGTTCTGTCCATGGGCAGCTCCAGACACACCTCCTGCCTTCTGGCCCAAGGCCCACGGTTCCAGCCTCAGCGGGCTGCACGCCAGGCCTGGCCCTCAGGGCCCAAGACCTTTGCAACTTTGTTCAGCCACAGAGACGACTTTATCACCTGAGGTCTGACTGCCATCTGACACCAGTGGCAGTAGCGGGGAGCCCGCGGCGCTTACACATCAGGGAGGGACTCAGGGCTCTGGCAGTTTCGCTTGGAGGAAGGGAAGTGGGTCCAGCCACAGCCATGGGCACTTTCTGGACCCCGTCTGCTGACTCACGACCTCACGTGAGAATACATTTCAGAGTTTGACAGGTGCCAAAGAAATACATACGTGGCATTAAACAGTTACACCTGGCAGCCCACGACAAGACCACGACAAGAGGCACAAGGACACTGGCAGAGGCACAGGGGCTCCGTGGGAAGGGCTTTACCTTGGACATCTGGCTGAAGTCGGCAAAGCCCTCAGCACTATTGAAGGACCCACTTCCGAAGGGGTCTAAGGTTCCAAAGGGACCTGCAAGCAGCACCAGCAGAGGAAGAGTTACAGGGCATTCACAGAACACGCCTCCTGGGAGCAGGGGGAAGTGTCACCTCTTGGTTCTCAATGGCCCCCAAAGCAGGAGATCCATGGAGGTCACGTTTGTTTGATGGGGTGGTGAATTGGGTGCAAGTCCTCAACAAGGCCCCCTGCCCCTGCCCACTCTGGCTCATGGTTGGTGCAGCTCAGCCAGACGGTTTGCGGCCATGAGAGTCAGCGCAGGGAGAGCCAGAGGGACTCTGCCCTGCGGCTGTGCTGCAAGCCAGCATTGTTCACCGTCACCAAAGGAGTGACAAGCACCCTGTGGAAGGAGAGCCTGCTGTCTGTCCTGCTGGATCAGGAGGGCAGAGTGAGAGGGAGGTGACCAGCCACCCATATGATTTATGTGGGGAGGTCATCTGCAGGTAGAGATTTTTGCTGAGCTTTCTCCTTTGGTGGGTGGTGCGATTTGTCCATAATAACCCACGAGTTCACCTACGAAATCAAACTCTGCAACTAACAAGCACAAGATGTTAGGCAAGGCGGCAGTACCAAGTGGAACCTGTTTCCAAAAGCAAGGGGGAGTCCACAAACGCTGCCCTCCCTTAAAGGCACACCTAAGAGCTTTATGCTGTGAGGGGAGGTTCCCTCAAATCCAGTGCCCATAGCACAAGCCTCAGTAGAACTTTGGATTCCTTTAGGAAAAAAAATCCAGAGGTTAGAACCAAAGATTCATAAGGAGGATTGAGCAAAGAGTAACTAATACATTGGTGTTATTACTAAATTAATCCCTACCGCCAAGCTTCCTTTCCATCCAGTAAGACGCCAGCTATTGCTCAGAAAGATGAGCAGCCAGAGGGGAATGGCTTTGGCTGCACTGCCTCAGGCGAGGATCTGGGTGCCACTTACTAATGACATAAACACTGAGGACACACCAGATTTGGAAATGGGTGGGCCGTTCCACTGCCCGAGGAAGAGTGAGAAGGAAAATAAGCCATCAGTCTCACCTGATCCTTTTGAGGAGACACTGGAGGATGAAAAAGGATCACTGGATTCAAAGGGGTCGAGCTGAGTGAAAGGAGAGAGGAGAGAGTGAAAAGCAGTTCCTTTGTTCATCATCCATTCATTCAACCACAAACTTTCTTGACATCTATATGCACCATATCTGCTGTCCAGCCTTGGGGAGGATAAAATGATTTAAACTAAATCCCGGCAGACTTAAATCCCAACAGACCAACCCCTCCCGCAGATAACACCTATAAACACTCTGAACTGGAAGAAAAAAAAAAAAGCCATCACCTGAAGACCCAGGAAGTGAACCAAAGCAGGAAGACTTTGGAAAAGAATTGAAACTTGGCAGAAAAAGCAGTACAAGATTGAGTTTTCCATTTTTTTGTTTTTTTTTTTTCCTGTGGTTCTTTTTATCTTGGCCACGCTGCTTGGCTTGAGGGATCTCAGTTCTCCGACTGGGGATTGAACCCGGGCCACGGCAGTGAAAGCACCAAGTCCTAACCACTAGACCACTAGACCAGGAAACTTCCAAGCTTTTCCCTTTTGACAGCTACAGTCTGAGAGTACTGGGGGGCTATGACTCCAATAGAAAACTCACTGTCTTTCTGGACTGAAGCTCAGAGGAGGGAGCCCCAGGACAACCACAGCCATGAGAAAGGGATGCGGGATCTAGAAAGGAGAGGCAGAGAATGGGAGCCCCAAATGCCATGACAAGCTCTGTCCACGTCTCAGGCTCACCCCTACACTGTGTGTGGGTTGGCAGACTCAGAGCAGCCTACAGCTAAGGCCACAGGAATGAAACCACAGGTGAGAGAGGGAGAGTTTGCAATATGAGTCTCACCAAGTTAGTTGCCTACTGAAATAAAACCATCCACACTCTTTGGACGAATGCAACAGAATCCAGTCTCCACAACAGAGCACTCACAATGCATAGAATATATTTTTAAGTTATTCAACATAAAGAGAGAACCTGAAAAATGCGGTTCTCAAGGGAAAAGACAATCAATGGAGTCAATCTCAAGATGACCCAGATTTTGGAATTCTCAGATGAGGATGAGTTTAAAGCAGCAATAACTGTGCTTAATGAGATAAAGGAAAAAACACTTAAGATGAATAAAAAGACAGGATATCTTAGTAGAGAAATGGAAACTATACAGAAGAAACATGGACATTCTCAAACAATGTAAAGTACAATATCTAGAATAAAAACTTCACTAGGTTAGCTAACCAGCAAATGACAGAAAAATGTAAGTGAAGTTGAAGATAAATCAGTAGAAATTACCCAATCTGAAGAAAAAGGAGAAAAAAAGAATGAAAAGAAACAGAGCCTCAGGGACCTGTACCAACAATAGCAAAAGGTCTAACATCTATGTAACTCGAATCCCACAAAGAGAAGAGAGAGAGAATAGAATAGAAAAAAATTTTTTTTCAAAAAAATAATGGCAGAAAACTTATCAAATTTGGTGAAGACATAATTTATAGATGTGAGAACTTCAGCAAATGCCCAGCAACATAAATACAAAGAAAAACATATCCAGAGCCTACACAAACTACTGAAAAGCAAACGTAAAGAGAGGCTCTTTAAGGCAGCCAGAGAGAAGAACATAACTATTTTTCCTCTTTAGAATTCATACAGTGGATTAAAGCAAAAATTAAAACACTGTCTTATGGAGTTTAACATATTTAGATGTATTACATTCATAGGACAACTATAACAGAGACGCTGCTGTTTGGGGGAGGGTGGATAAATGGACCTATATGATTACAAGTTTTCTACATTTTACATTAAGTGACATAATATTAATTCCAAGTAGCCCATGATAAGTTAAAGAGTGTATATGGTAATCCTTAAAGCAACCTCTAAGAAATAATGAAAAAAGGTATGGTTAAAAATGGCCAACAGATACCAGAAAATGGAATTCTAGAAAACATTCAAATAATCCAAAAGAAGACAGAAGAAGGGGAACAGAGGAATAAAATACAGAGGATAAAAGAAAGTAAATAATAAAATAGTAGACTTAAATCCAACCATATCAATAATTGCATTAAATGTTAACAGACTAGACACTCCATTTAGAAGGCAGAGATTTCCAGACTGGATAGAAAAGGAAGGCCCAACTACATGCTCGACACAAAAGACATCCTTCAACTCCCAGACAGGTTGAAAGTAAATGGATGAAAAAAGATATATCATGCAAAGACTACGCATAAGGAGAATGAGGTGGCTATTTTAATATGTGATAAAAATATATTAAGACAAAGCACCAGAGGAAAAAAGGAACCCTTTACAAAGAAAAAAAGGTCACTGCATCAGGATGACACAACAATCATGAATGTGTAGGCACCTGACAGAGCTTCAAAACACATGAAGTTAAACTTGACAGAATTAAGGAGGATATGGACAATTCTGCAATCATAGGAGATTTTAACACTCCTCTCTCAGCAACTGGTAGAGCTTACAAACAAACAAAAACCATAAAAATAGATGACCAGGGCTTCCCTGGTGGCACAGTGGTTGAGAATCTGCCTGCCAATATAGGGGACACGGGTTCGAGCCCTGGTCTGGGAAGATCCCACATGCCACGGAGAGACTGGGCCCGTGAGCCACAACTACTGAGCCTGTGCGTCTGGAGCCTGTGCTCCGCAACAGGAGAGGCCCCGACAGTGAGAGGCCCGTGCACGGCGATGAAGAGTGGCCCCCGCTCGCCGCAACTAGAGAAAGCCCTCGCACAGAAACGAAGACCGAACACAGCCAAAAATATAAATAAATAAATGAGTTAGTTTAAAAAAAAAAAATAGATGACCAGTCCTGTAACAAACCATAATGGAAAAAGTATATATATATATATATATATATATATATGTATATATGTATACTGAATCACTCTGCTGTACATTAGAAACTAACACAATATTGTAAGTCAACTATACCTTACAGTTTAAAAAAAGGAAAAAAGGGGAACTCCCTGGCAGTCTAGTGGTTAGGACTGGGCACTTTCACTGCTGCAGCCTGGGTTCAATCCCTGATCGGGGCACTAAGATCCCGCAAGCCGCATGGTGTGGCCAAAGGGAAGAAAATATAGACAATCAGGACAACCACCTTGACCTAACTGGCATTTACAGAACGTTACACCCAACAACGGCAAATAGACATTCTTCTCAAGTGTACAAAGTATGTTCACCAACACAGACTATAAAACGAGTCTCAATAAATCTAAAAGGACCGAAAACATGCAAAATATGTCCTCTAATAACAGTAGATTTAATTAGAAATCAGTATTATAAAATACCTAGGGGGAAAAAAAAGTATCTTGAAATGAAACAATGTACTTTAAATAATCCAGGTTCAACAGAGCATTCACAAGGAAAACTGGAAAATATCTCAAAATGAATGACAATGAAGATACAACATACCAAAATGGATGGAATGCAGCTAAAGCAGCACCTCAAAAGAAATGCATAGCTTTAAACACTCATATTAGAAAAGAAGATCCAAGACCAACGACCTAAGGCTGTATCTTAAGAAGTTAGAAACAGAAGAGCAAAGTGGGAGGAAGGAAATAATGAAGAGCAGAAATCAGTGAAACAGGAAACAAAGAGGAGAGAAAATTAACACAGCCAAAAGTTGGCTCGTGGAAAAGATCGACAAAATTGATAAACGCAGATAACACAGACCACCAACACCAGCGATGAAAGGGGGGGATCCCATGACAGGTCTCGCAGATAGAAACGTTACGGGTTAATCCCTGCCTTCAAGGAGCTCTGGGGCCAGTGATACATACCAGTAGGTCCATGGAGAAGTGAAAAACTAGGGAATGGGTAAGGTGGGGACAGAGATGCAGCCTAGAACGTGAAGGAAGGCTATACATTGCCCTCACTTAGACACAAAAATTCTCTATTCAATCACAAAGTTACTTTTTGCTTTTTAAATCCTCATTTACACCAATTTAAACCAGTCTGTTGAGTCTAACGTGCAAAAGGTACGGTTTACTACTTGCTGGGGGGCGGGGGAGCACACTAAGTGCAGCCAGGCTGTGGGTCTGGACTTCTTCCTGCCATGGCGGGGACCCACTGAGGCTGGCTGATGCCAATGTCACCATTAGTGCTTTGCACTAGGAAGATGGCAGGAGCAGTCACATGGAAACCTGTGGGAGTGTGTGGTGCTCTATTTTGTCTTTATTGGGAGGTGGAGTGGCACTGGGGGCAGGCGACAGAGCAGAGAACCCAGCAGGTGGGCCTGAGCTGAAGTAAAGGGGTACAGAAAGGGACAGAGGAGTGACAGCTGTTCAGGACACAGCCCGCCCTGACTTGGGCTCACTGGACTGCTGGATGTGACACCTTGCTTCGTGGGACAAGCCTCTGGAGGGATCGGCAGAAAGGGTCACCTTGCTATGCAGTAACGAGGCTTGGCCTTTGAGCCAGACCCTGGGGAATCCCCTGGCCTTGCACAGCCCTCGTTCGTCAGGCTTAGCACTCACGGTCTGAGTGATGGAGGCCCTGACTCGGTCCACAGAGGGTGGGGAATGGAAAGGGCTGCCTTCACACACGCAGAGTATGCACACGGGCAGCACCAGAAGGCAGCCTTTCCGGGGTCACTCACCTTTGAAGGTAAGGAAGGGTTTTTCGTGAATGGGTCTGAGGTAAATGGGTCGTTCTTTGTCTGTTTCTTAAAGAAGTCGTCGGGGGCAGAGCCATGGAATGGGTCATTTTCTTTGAAAGGATCCCCTCCGAATGGATCTAGGTGTTTTGGAAAGAAGAAAAAAAATGCCCCATGAATAAACATTATGCCTAGTGAAAGAACTCAAATATAAAAGAACACACAACTGACTGGCACTATTTACATGAGAGTCTAGAAAAGGTACAAACCGTAGTGGCAGAAAGCAGGTCAGTGGTTGCCAGAGACCTGGGGGGGTAGGGGGTGGGGGAGACCAGGGAACCTTCTGGGACAATGGAAATGTTCTCTCTCTCACACAACTATACACATTTGTCAAAACTTGTCCACTTCTGCACTTAAAATGGGTGAGTTCTGTTGTGTGTTAATTATACCTCTCAATAACACTTGATTTCAAAATAATATGAACAAACAAATAAAATGAGTAAATCCATAAGGACAGAAAGCAGGGGCTGGAGAGTGGGACTAGGGAGACTGCTCACGGGGACAGGGTCTCCTTTTGGGGTGATGGAAATGTTCTGGAGCTACACAGAGGTGGTGGCTGCGTAACACAGTGAATGAACTAAACGTCACTGAAATGTGGTTAATCTGTGTTATGTGAATTTGTTAATTTTGTGTTATGTGAATTTCACCTCAATAGAAAAAACGAATACAAGGGGAAAAATTAGATAAATAGGCAGCAAGATCCCAACACCACGCCCAGGGTACGTTCATTCTCCTCGAACGTGAGGTGTGGGCCTGGTGACTATAGGAGGGGCAAGCCACCATCACCAGCAGGGAACAAGATGCTAGGCTTTTATGCAATGCGATGCTGTCCTTCCCAGTCCACTCCCTGGTATGTGTGGGCAGAAGTGCCACCGCATGTGGGTACCAACGGGACACCCTGATGCCACCACAGGTGACACAAGTGGGCACAAGTGTCCAAACAGTGGCCTAGCTATCAGGGGCTTCTTTTCTAGTTCTAATTCTCATCATGCTGTGCGACTGGCAAGAAGGGGCACCAGACTGTGAAAGGGAGGGACAATGGAGGTTCCTTCAGAAACTGACCTGGCAAAGGAGGCTGCAAGGTGTTTCCCCATTTCCCTCAACCTGAACTAGGAATGGGAATATTCTGAGAGCCAGTCCACAAAATGTTTCTTTTAACAAAGGCTTAGGCTTTTTTTTTTTTTTTTTTTTTACCTGTTGAAGCCGTCTGTTGTTCGGCAAAGGGGTCGCTCTGGAACGGGTCACCTGGATTTAGAGGAGAGAGGACCGTTCAGGTCTATGGTAGAAATGACCTTGGCAGAGCAAAGTGGGGAAGCAGGGGCAGCCACTGACTAAGGCAGTTTGTCATGGCGAGGACAACTAAGATAAAATGAAAAGTATTGTTGGCTGCTCAACACGGGCCCAAATCAAGGAAAATGTAGGGCAAGCCTGAATTCACTCTCTCTTTCTACACAGTGCTTTACTCTCCTGTCTCACCCCTGCCCCTCCCCGACACTTCCCAGGGCTCCGAGAACCTGGGACCCCGGAGCTGCCCCACCCTCAGCCGCATGGCACATCTGAGTTTCGGGAGCTGCCTGGCTCATCTCTCAGAACTAAGGTGCTTCCACTCCAAATCTGAAACTGGAAAGGCACTCCCTCTGCCCTCTCCCTGCCCTGGCATTTTTCTCAGAAAAGTACAGATAGCCTTCTTGGAAATACTGTTTTGCTCTGCAAAAACTGAAGAACTTAGGAAATCTTGTTTCTAGAATTCTTATTCTTGACTCGTGTGTGGATCTGGATGAACTCACCACGTTAAGACCTTAGATGTTTATGTGGGGGGATCTGCTGTTTACTAGGTGGTTCCATAATCACCACTATGTCTGATTATCTTATCAATCCCGAGAGGTGGATGGGAACTGAAGCATGCAGAGTCTCAGGGCCAAGCAGGCCGCCCTTGAACGTGGATGTCTCTTGGTGAGCCTGGAGCTCTTCCCACCCCCTCCCCTCAACACCATAGCTCTTTAGATAACCAGGTGGGGTGAAAAACTCAAGAGGCCCATTAGGCTCAAAGAATTTCTTTCCTCCTAACTGTTCTAGTCGCTGGACAACCCCAGGGGGGCACAAAACAGCCTTTCAACGATAAAGTGGGTGCCAAATGAGATACCTTTGAAGGGATCGGCTCCTTTAAATGGGTCAGATTTGAAGGGGTCTTCTGCCTGAAAAGGATCCGGATGCAATTCTTGGGCGTTGTTGCTAAATAACAAGGCTTTATTTTTGAAAGGATCGTCCTATAATTTTGTGAAGAGACAGGACAGGGATTTAATTATTTCAGATTTAAAGCAAAGTACGGAATTCTATACCTAACTGGTATATTTTCCCTGTAAATGATGTGACCCTAAAGAGAGTAATTTTTCTAAAAAACCATAGAAGATGGACTTTAGTTAATGATAACATGTCGACAATGGTTCATGAGTTATGATAAATGTACCGTATAAGATGTTAATAATAGGAGAAGCTGGGTGTGGGGTACATGGGAACTCTCTGTACCATCTCTGCAACTTTTCTGTAAGTCTTCTAAAATTAAAAAGTTTATTTAAAAATCATTGAGTGGAAGCAACCCAAGCGCCTACTGATGGATGAGTGAATAAGCAAAATGTGGTATGTACGTACAATGGAATACTATTCAGCCTTAAAAAGGAAATTCTGACACATGCAACACAGATGAACCCTGAACACATCATGCTAAGTGAAAGAAGCTAGTCACAAGAAGACAAATATTGTGTAATTCTACTTACATGAAGTCCCTAGAGACATCAAATTCATAGAGACAGAAAGCAGAATAGTGGGTGCCAGGGACTGGGGGAGGGGGGAGGGGGAGTTATTGTTTAATGGGTATGAAAAAGTTCTGGAGCTTAGTGGTACAATGTGAATAAACTTAACACTACTGAACTGTATAATGAAAAATGGTTAAGATGGTAAATTCTACGTTACGTGCCTTTTACCACAATTAAAACAAAAAAATCGAGTCAGAAAAAAAGTCATGTTTTTGGAAATGTCAGAAAGAAAATGTAACGAGCCACCAACGACTGCAGCTAGAGGCCTTGTTCAAAGGTGTGCCTCCCTCAAACACCTTCTCAGAGTGTGTTACCTACGTGGGCATTTAAAAAAATGCCGTTTCCACACCAAGAAACATGCTGGCTATTTACATCCTGAGAGGAAATGAGTGCTTACGCAGTTAGAACTACTAGAGCATATGCAACACTTTGCATTTTTTTAAAAAAGTGCTTATTTCTAGAAACAAACAAGAATATTTAAATCAGAAGGGAAAAAAACTGGCTTTTGAAGAGCACGTCTTTATAGTGGAAAATGACCTGAAAGGGCTGGGGAGAGGCTTCACAGTACACATAGGGACGGTGTACTTGGTTCAGAAATACTGAGATATTTTGGTTAATGAAGACACACCCTCAGTGAAAACATGAAGGTTTCACTATGATGTTAAAAAGCACAACATCCTCACTGAATCTGGCAAATGTGTCAGCAACCTCGGGGCTGGCAAACTCAGCCATTATTCCAACTGACCAAAACCAAATGATTAAAGAGCTGGGCTTCCGTGAAAATACAGGGCAATGACGTCAAAGGGGCCAAAGGAAGATTCCTGACGAGGCTCCTACCACCCTGGGCCAGTTGACTTCAGGGAGCAGGACGGATCTCAGAGGCAACAGGCTAACAGGAAGCCCAAGGCTTCCGAAGGACTGACCAACACCCCTGCCCTCTGATGAATACGGAACGATTTTCCTTACCTGAGAAAGATTATCTGGAGCCTCCAACCACAGGGTTTCCCAAGGTGGGGAAAATAAGCCAGTTCTTAGGCAAGTAAGTACTGATGTCTGAAAGCACCGTGTCCGGCAGCAGGGCAAGGACTCAGTAAGGACGTCGTACTGCTAACTACTGTGACATGCCCGCGCCAGCAAGCACCCAATGGGGTTCTGAGACACAGATCAACGTGATGGAGAAGTCCTAATCTAAGGAAGCCAGGAGGCCGGTGTGGAAAATAAACCTCTCGCACTGCAGCCCAGGGGAAGGAACGTATCTGTTCCAGAAGAACAGAGAGAGATGATGTATGAGGTGGATAAAGTAGTGAGTTAAGAATGACAACTTGGCCTCGGTGTGGAAGCTTCTATTTAGTTTTTAATTAGCACTGACGTACAAATTGGTTGTGTTGTTTTGTTTTTGTTTTTATAATGTTTTCAACTGCCACTTGGAAGACTGACAAGTAACAGTGGACAATGGCAGAGAAGAGACTGATACTGGGGGGTCTGGCCCGAAATCCCCTGAGCAGAAAGTCAAGTCTGCAATCTCTCTCTCAGGAGCAACTGTTTGCCTAAGGCAGCAACCGCTCCCTCCCCTTCAAAGGAGAAGCCTAAGAAGACCCCGGCAGGATTCATGTGGTTAGGGTAACCACAGGTGGTTTGGATTCCATTTCACAGATCCAGAGCAGAAAACTAGATTTCCCCTGGTGCAGAGAGGCCGTAAACTCCACCATCCACTGACCTCCTGCCAATGAGCACGGAGCCATCTGCCCACTTGGGAGATGCAAGTGCAGCTGCCAAGCACGGGGTGAACGATCCCACCCATGGCAGAGGGAGAACACCTCGAACAATGAGTTCTGGTCTTAATTACTGCACTTCTTGGGAAACAGACATGACAACTCTGAAAGGGCATCTAGGTGACATTCTGTGACATTCCTTCCCTTTAGATGGGGGCTAGGCAGTGGTGTGCTGATGAACCAGCGCTCTGGGGGAAAAAAAAAAAAAAGCCCTGATTGTTAGCCTCTGCCAATTCCCATGGTGTAGCTACTCCCACCATGGTTGACGTCCAGTTACCAAAGGTTGAATAACAGCTTACAAAATTCCTATTTAATAATCGGCTCTGGAGAGTCAATAAAACTGGCTCCAGCACTCCAGGGGCTGGATGTTGACAGACAAGCCCTTCTTTCATGATGAGTTCTCGGCGAGACTGAAGTCTGGGATGATTTATTACCTTCTCTCTAGTAGACCGGTTGGCTGAGTGCTGACTCCAAGGACAAGAGGCCAGTATTCTCATCAGTGGATGACAGATAAGAAATAAATATGGCTTTAAGAATCCTGCTGTCTTGGACAAAGTAAAATCATGTGAGCCTAACACTAAACTTAGTAACTTTAGTAAAACCGCCCAGACTTAGAAAGTTCTAGACGCACCTCTTTGGTTACACTTGTTCTCAAGAAACTAAACTCCTCACTTTCATCCCCTCAAAGAGAACTAAGAGAGGTCCCTCTCCTCCGGAGCAGTCCTGAAATGTCCAGGAGTAAACAAAAAGCCCTCTTCAAAGTGTTTATTAAGAAATGGAAACAAACCGAAAAGTGCTTTAAAAACTGTATTTGTACAACAAGATAAAAATAGTTTTTCTCTCAAACACTGGTTTTGAGTTTCTACGTAACATATGCGACGTCCACGTTTCAAGATGAATTGACTATCATGTAAACTGTGCCCACTAATGAGATGAATAAAAATAAAGGTAAAAAAATCTGTGGGAGGCAGGAGAGGGGAGGGAAGTCCCATGCTGCTTTCAAACTGCCACTTCACTGTCAACTTTTTATCCAAGAAAACCAATCTTATCAAAGCCTGCGAGAGGGTTTAAAAGTGAGCTGTTCCATGAACTAAGACGGAACAGGGCAAGCCAAGAGCCGTGTGAGGGTACCAGTGACAGAGGGAAGAATAAGAGCGGGGCTAAGAAGCTGAAACGCACACTCTGAGACAGACAGCCAAGCAGGAAATTCTGCCTCACTCGGTTCAGGAAGAAGGAACGTTCACAGTCTCTATTTAGACGGTAAAGCTGACGAAGCTGACAACGGGCCCAGGAGCAGATATGGAATTCACTCGTTTACAATTCCCTGAGGAAAGGAATGTGTGAATGGCAGAGGGAGGCAGTGACGGCCAGAGACAGGAGACAGATGAGAACACCAACAGGTCTTCTGCAATCCGGGGGGAGGAGGCGTAAGCTTCCCCATAAATCCTTGGGACTGAGTACTTGGCTACTGAGAAAAGAAACATGTCAAGAAATGCACAGAAAGAGCCGAGCCTCACATGAAGAGAGACAGAGAGGCTGAATTATTACAAGGAGGGGAAGGAATCCATGAGGCAAACAGGGCCAGGAGCAAGAGCCTGGGAGAGAGAGATGTCAGTGCGGGGCGTGCGGTGAAAGGCTTTGGGAGCAGAGCACGACGAAACCACCGAGACCAACAGCATCCCACTGGCTCCCGCAACAGCACAGAGATGCACAAAGACACTCTCGTCAGCCAGAATAAACTGCAAAACGGCACACGCCAGGGCTCAGGGCTGCTACGGCCAACTCTGGCAAGAACAAAGGACAAAGTAACACTGCTGGATGTCAGCAGCCTGAGGGCCTGCAGAAACCTAAGAGGCCGGGCCTTCACCAGCACCCCCAGGGTCATGAGGTTTGAACCCAAGTGCCAAAGTCTCAAACGTGACCAAGATTTCAGGAGAGAGGCCAATTCGTAGGTGATACAGCAACACCCCAGGAGGGCTGTCATTGTTCTTGATCTTTACCTATACGTGTGATTTTCAAGGTGCTCCTTGTAGAAACACAGAAACACACACACACACACACACACACACACACACACACACATTCCTCCAAACTCCCAATTAGTAGGATGCGGGGTTTCACAATGTATGAGAGTTGATCCAATTTTGGTTAAGTTTGGGAAGCCCTCCAAATTCCGGTGATCAGCTCACGGAGATGGAGGTCTTTACAAACTGGTCTTAGAAAGGATTCAGGCCTATCCTTGGCTTTGTCCCAGACACCAGGATGGAGTGTGGCCCCGGACGCCAGGCTGCAGGGCTGGTGGGGACACGCAAAGCAGCAGCGAAAACAAGAAACACCCTGCACTTGAACAGAATCGAGGCTGGCAAGTGCTGGATCAAGCGGGCAGGGCCTTCTCTGATCCCAGTGTGGGGCCTGATCCCAGGACCTTTACATTTACATTTATTCAACCTTTACCATGGCTCCAAAACCGCCCCTCTCTGTCAGGGAGACGCCCTCGCTCAGCTCAGCTAAGTTGGTCAAACTGGCGCCGTGGGCCCCGTCGAGCACCTCGTCATACTGCTCCAGACTCCTCTGGGCTTCCTGGTGGCTTTCGTGCAGCTGGGAAAGCTTGCTTCTTGCCTGTACAATAAAGACATCGTCGGCATCAAGTAGGGTTTAGGAAAAAAGTATTAGGCAACACATTTTTTTCTCCTAACATCCAACCCCGGACGATTCACAATGGTAACTGAATTACCCATCTACGGAGTAGACAATCCCCGTTGCCATGTTTATGAGACGCGAGACCGCTTGTAAACCAAGACGAGACCCTTCTGCTGCCCCAGGCGGTCCCTGAGAAAGGCAAGTGTTCAGACATTTGGTGACTCGGAAGGAAGTGAAATGGGACAAAATCCAGATGCACAATCTATTCAAAGTGATATTCAGCGGTCACTTCCCTTCGTGGGATTTATTACCCCATTTGCTCCTCCTTGCTCCTGGAGGAGGCACGTGAGGCCAGGGGAAGGAAGGCAATCTGTGACGTCAGACACACCCCAGCTTTATCTTAACTGTCTCGTATGCACTGGTGATCTAACCTCTCTGTTTCCTCTTCTCCAAGATGGAGCCCTGGAAATGACGGGTAAAACCCCTCTTGCGGTGTCCAGCAGGGTGGGCCTTAATAAGCAGCAGCTATCATTTTTAATATCATTATCATTATCACTAACATACATTTATGTCTTGGCTCCTACCTATGTTTTATAAACTCCAAAGGCTGGGAGGGAAAAGACATAAGATAACCCTACAAGTATTAATTAACAAAAAAGCACAATATATGGCATTAAATCCCTGAGATTTGAGTTTGTCATCAACTTTTGCCAGTAAACTGGCAAAAAGAGCAAAGAGATCGAGTCAGTCAAAAGAAAGGAAGCACGAACACGCATTTAGATACTGCCAAGGTCAAACAAACATCACCCTCACTCTGTAGGTGGGACACTCAAGGGCCAGCAAGGAGGCCTTTGGCCGTTACATACAGGGGAGCAGGAAAAGAGCTCTCCCTCTGCTGGTGGGCAGCGGCCACAGGCCTCAAGGCCTTCACCCCAGAGCGGGACAGGGAGGGGTACCTGGACAGGGGCCCATGTGGGGCGATGCTCCTGAGAGGATGGGGCCTCCTCGGTGTGCTGGTCTTCAAACTATCAATGCATGGGGACAGAGGGGTGCTGGAAGGCGTCTTGGACTCTGTCCCTCTTGCTTGTACAAGGACCAAGGCTGGGGAGAGCATGTCCTGAACCCAAGGCTCTCTCCAAATGAGTTAACTTAATGTCCTCACCCAGACCCCGCCCGCTCCACAAAAATGATGTGCACTCAGGCGGGGAAGTGGAAGGCCGGTGAGGCAAAGCAGACGCCACCAGGCCAAAGTCAACACGATGGTGGAACGCACGCTGGGGGCGTTCTCAGCACTTCACCTTCAGGCTGAATGAAGGCTTCCAAGAAGAAAGGGAGGTGGGTGAGAGCAAAGAAAATAACTACTGCAGCGCAGACACCTGGGACCGCTGGTCGCACACCCCTCTGTGACTGCTTTGCTCGTGGCAGCCACCCCGCGTGGCAGGAGACCCCAGAAGCCCCCGGCCACAGCCAGTGGTGGCAGGCCCCGCCCCACCCCCTCGAGATACCTGGTTGATTTCGTCTTGCGTGGATTTCAGGGACTTGATGATGGTTTCCAGTTGAACTTTCCCAGCCTGAATGCTCTGCTCCAGCTGCGTCTCCTCCTGCTGCAGTCGGTTCAGCTCAGATTTGGCCCGGTTCAGGTCGTCTTCCTGGGACTTGAGGTCGGATTCCTGGGACTGGATCTGAGTCTTCAGTGAGGAAATCTGAAAAGAGATGAAACACGACTTCGAGGAAGAATTCTGGCTCATGTTCTTGAAACAAGCTGACCCAGGGAAGAGGACACCAGCCTGAAAGCCCAACGCCTGGCTTCCTTTACATGGACCCCTCTCCACACCCGGGACAAGCATAGGCAATCTGTCTGTCCCCTGGGGCTGAATGTCCCCACAAGAGGCCTCAGACCGGGATGTAAGGGTTTTACAGTCTGCTGAAGCTGCAGCCTCCCTGGTTTGTAACAAGCAGCTAAGACACCAGGGGAGGGGAGACATGTGCCCACACCGTGCTGTGTGGCATGGGTCAGGGTGGTATGCACACACGGGTTCATGCTTATACATGTAACATGGTAGATGAGACTGAGGTCAGGCCACAAATGCTTGGACACTTTTCCACATGATACGTTCAACTACTCTATTAAACCAGTAGACATCTCAGCCTTGAGCTGAGACGGTCATGGTGAGCTCAGGGAAGTCCGTAAGAAGCCTCCTTCCCCTGCTGGGCTCAGCGGGGAGAGGGGGGGATGATGACTTACCATCTGGGTCTCATCCTGGCACTTCTGCCTGACGTCACTCAGCATGTCTCGGAGCTTGGCCTTTTGCTGATCCATTTCGTCCAGGCGGTCTTGGGCGTCCTGTTTCTGAGCTTCCAGCTCTTGCAAACTGCTTGTTTCCCGGTCTAAATCATTTTGCAATTCCTAGGAGAGGGTGGCATGAATTTACTCGAGACTTGTTCACATGGGGCACGTCCAAGCTAACACTGTCACAGCCTGGGCTGGAGCCCCCAAGATGTCCTACAAAACCGCACACTCCACAGGGAATACCACACACATCTCAGTGTGGTGGCCCCAGCTGAATCTCTCACTAAGTCCCTCAGCAAATACTTACTGATGGCCTAAGAGAGGCCAGGCACCAGGAGTGGGGCTGGGCTCCTGGCAAGAAGAGCTCTCCAGTGACATGTGGTCATCATTGGGGCGGGAAGGGCATCACCCAGACACGAACTGAGACGAACACGGGATAGCATGGGTCAGACTGTCAGTCAGAGTCACGGGGGCATGGGGAGACCATACTGATGCTGCACAGGTGGACAAGAGCTCAAGGAAGCACCACTTCGACGGACCCAAAGGACGAGCAGATGGTAGCCAGGAAAAGAGCCAGGAATGTGAAGAGTGGACGGGGCCGCAGAGGACCCCGAAGAGAAAGGGGTGCCGTGCTCCAGCTGGATCAAAGGAAAGCGGGCCGAGGGCACCAGAGGCCGTGCCCCACAGGCCATGCCAAAGACGGCACTGGCTTCTGCAGCAGGAAGCCCCTGCAGACATCTAAAATGGGAGCAGGACATGATGATTCTCAGCTGCTAAAGCTCCTCCACGTGGGCTGTAGCTAACGAGACGACCAGTGCGGGTGTCTTCAGGCTCGACTGTTAGACCTCTAGGGAAAGGATCCTAGAGGGGGATGGCGCAAGTGAAAACGTGCAATGTTTGCGATGGCAAGATCTGTCAACAATGCAAACTTCCACAGGCGGAGTTGGCTGGACTTGTAGCACAGCCCACCCTGAGGGACACCTCACCTTGTAACCGAGTTATAATGTGAAATGAACAAGGCATGCGGCAGAACACACATGTGAGGCACAGTGGCATGTGTGCAATCAGGAAGGGGGGATATGCACAGACGTCTCTCCTGACACACACACATGACCTTCCTGGAAGGCCTCATGGGAGCTGATGGACTACACCTCTGCGGGTACAGGGGAGGGCAGGAGGCGTCCATTTTCAACCAGGCGAATGTCTTATGGGATGTCTTACCTACCTGTAAGATAGATAACTAAAGCAGGGATGGGATGGGAGGGGAGAGCATGGCCTATGGGGCTGACAGTGGGGAGGGGACTCAAGCTGGGGCCGAGGGAGAGGTGATGGCAGCCTGGGTGAGGTTGTGGCCGTGGGTATCAAAGGAAGGGGCGGACTTGAGGGGACTGTTGGGCGGTCAGGGAGGACAGGAGTGGTGAGGCCAATCCCCAGGGCTGGCCGGGGCTGCTGGTGGCTGACGTCATTTCAGAAGAAAACTCGAAGGAGGTGCAGGGTCTCCCTCTCCCTGCTTTGAGGACAAAAAAAATCACGGCTCTCTCTCTCCTCTCTCAACAGCCAAAACACACCTCTGAGCTATTTTGGGGGTCTAGGTTCTCTGCTCCCCAGTCTCCCTGTCCCCGACCTTTAAGAACAGATCTCAAGTCTGACAAGTTTGGGAGAGCTAACAATGAATGTCTGATAGGAAGCTAATGGCAGAGTAGGGAACGTGGGTTTGCCACATCTGAGGGAAGGACAAGTGATGGGGGAGGGGGAGACGAAGGAGGAAGGAGGGTCAGACCTGCCGTAGCCATGGAAAAGCCCACGGGAAGATGACCTGCCAGCTTCTGGTTAGGAAGAGCGCTGGGATCAAAGTGGGGGAGGTGTCTGAGCAAAGAGAAGACAGAAAAAACCCAGACAACCTACAGACTCAGAGCAATCCCCACTGGAACGCCAGCCAGCTTCTGACAAGCAGATTCTAAAATTTATAAGGAAATGAAAGGGACCCAGAATAGCCAAAACTCTACGGCCACACCACGCGGAACGGGCGCGACCTCATCAGGAGAGCCAAGACAAGCTTGAAAAATACGACGCTGGAGGACTCACACTTGCCGATTTCAAAACTTACTGCAAAGCAACAGTAATCAAGACAGTGTGATACTGGCATAAGGAAAGGCAAAAATCAATGGGATAGAACTGAGAGTTCAGAAATAAATCCACATGTCTACGACCAACGGATTTCTGAAAACGGTGCCAAGACCATTCAGTGGGGGCAAGATTAGTCTCTTCAAGAAATGGTTCTGGGACAACGGGCCCTCCACATGCAAAACAATGAAGTTGGACCCCTACTTCACACATTACGTAAAAATTCACTCAAAATGGATCAAAGACCCAAATGTAACAGCTAAAACTATAAAACTCTTAGAAGAAAATGTGTGGTAAATCTTTGTGACCTTGGATTTGGCAATGGGTTCTTGGATATGATACCAAAAGCAAAAGCAAAACAACGTAATAAATAACTGGAAAATTTTAAACCTTTGTGCTTCAGGGAATTCCCTGGCAGTCCAGTGTTTAGGACTCCTCACTTTCATTGCCGAGGGCCCGGGTACAACCATCAAGAAAGTGAAAAGACAACCCAAAGATGGGGACATAATATTTGCAAATCAGTTATCTGATAAGGGAATTTATCTAGAAAATATAAAGAACTCTTACAACTCAGCTATAAAAAGACAAATAACCCAATTTAAAAATGGGCAAAGGATCTGAACTAGCTTTTCTCCAGAGAAAATACACAAATGGCCAATAAGTACGTGAAAAGATGCTCATCAACATTAGGGACAGCATCAATGAGATACCACTCCACACCCACTAGGAAGGCTATAATAAAAAATGGAAAATATCAAGTGTTGGCGAGGATGTGGAGAAAGTGAGAATGAAAAATGGTACAGCCACTTTGGAAAACAGTCTGGCAATTCCTCAAAGGGTTAAACATACAGTTGCCATGTGACCCGCAACTTCACTCTTAAATGTATATATATACACACACACCTAAGAGAAGTGAAATCATATATCCACACAAAAACTTGCACATTAATATTCACAGTGGCATTACTTGCTACAGCTAAAAAGTAGAAAAACACAAACAACCATCAACTAATGAAGCAATGAATAAAACAGCCATACACTGAAGCATTATTCAGTCATAAAAAGGAATGAAGCACTGACACATGCAACAACATGAATGGACCTTGAAAACTACACTGAGTGAAAAGAGGCCAGACTCAAAAGGCCACATAGTATGTGATCCCATTGATATGAAATGTCCTGAACAGAAAAATCCAGAGGAAAGAATGTAGATTCGTGGTTGCCAAGGGCTGGGGAGGACTGGGGATCGCTAATGGGTAGGGGGTTTCGTTTTGGAGTGATGAAAATGTTCTGCAATTGACTGTGGCGATGGATGTACAACTCTGTGCATATGCTAAAAACCACTGAATTATACACTTTAAATGGATGAATTGTATAGTATGTGAATTACATCTCAGTGAAGCTGTTGTTACAAAAACAAAATGCAACAGTAAACCAGGCAAAGATGCTGCAGGTTCTCACTAAGACAGTAGCCATGGAAATGGAGAGATCCCCAGGGCAGGAGGGGGAAGGGGAGGCCTGAGGGGGCTGAAGCTGAAGCTCCCGCTGCTTAAAATCAAACATAAACTAACCTGAGGACCAAGGCCTGCTACTCGACGCTGGGCCCTGACCTGCAGCCTGTGCTGGCAGGCATGGCACATGATCTCCTGGCCAAACCCATCTGGGAAAAGGCAGCAGGAACCAAAATCAAACTTGGTTTTCACAGAGGAACTTTAAAATATATATAGTGTTCTGTCCCTGACCAAGGAGCTGCCATCACACGACAGCAGGGGCCTGTCCTGGTTGGAGTACACGTGATGCTCCCGTGGGACAGGGGCTGGCCTGGCTGGAGCTGGGCCCCCTGCAGCTCTGAGGGGCCATCGGGGCCCACACGGACCCCAGCATCTCAAAGGCTGCAGGAGTGCGCTGTCAGAGCCCAGTAGCGAGGGTTTCGGGTGGCCTTGCTGAGCCTGCCACAGACCAGAGGGGAAAGCACCTCCAGACATCACAGCGACCCAACGGCTTTCTTAGAATCGCCCAGGAGCAGGTGCCAGAGACCTGGTGACTGGTTTCCCTGGAGCCAAAGGACATCACAGCACCCAGATCCCCAGCTTTGGGAATGCAAACCAGAGCTCGTGCAGAGTGACCCAGACACAACAGGAGGGAGAACTGCCCAGGGACCCACATGGCCAGCCGGGCCAGGGCCAGGGCCAAGGTGAAAGGGACGATGAGGCCAGCACCACCACACCAAACAGCTGAAAGGATTGGGGTGAGGTGATACGGGTGACAGCGAACTGTGTCTGAGGGGTCAGTTCTAGGATATGGGTGGAAATCAGAGGGCTGAGGTGAGAATAAAATGATAGGATGAACATACAAACACCCAGAAAAATAGAGTCGCTTCACCTGTGGTCATATAAATGATGCAACTCATTTGAGCAAAAAAACCCAAACAAAACCAAAACACGATGATAGAGGCAGGCTGTTCCCTGCCTTCTGATCCAAAACATTCCAGGGGACCATGTAAGGCCCAACCCCCGATGCCAACGTGTACAGAGTGAGAAGCCAGGGAAGAAGAGCCTGGACACTGCACAGCGTGAACCAATGAAAGTCCCAAAGCATCCACCCTACCCCACCTGCAGACGGCAGCTACGACAGAGGACATTTCCGGCAGCCGGCGGGCAGGCACTGCATGCCATCTGTCCCCTGCATATCTCATGGACTCCTACAGCCCCTCTGCGGACAGGCTCAGGGGAGGGGGAAAGAGGGCCGCCCTTGAAGAGACATCGGTTCCGAGATGTCTCAGGTCTGAATGAATAGAGACGGCTCTGCCGTCGTGAGGAGACTCGAGTTGTCTCTGGGGCTCTGAGAGCGTGGCTGAGCTGTGCCGCTGGGCCTGACAGTCTCTGCGTGGGGCTTCGAGTGCTCCGAGCTCAGAGCCGGGGAAGGAGGAGCGAGGCTGAGCAGTCAGCGCTGCAGCCCCCACAGCTCGGCCCCATGAGCCTGACTGAGTCAGGTGCTGCTTCCCCTGGCCTGGCTCAGGTCGCTGCCCTAGGAGGTGGCCCAGAAAGAACCAGCCACTCAGGCGGTGTACACGGCGGCCAGATGCTGCTCTTGGCGCTGATCCTCACTGCCAGGTGGGAAGACGGAGGCTGGGAGGCTGAGCCACCCACCCACAGTCCCCTGGCCGAGCCGTGGGGGCTGCAGCGCTGACTGCTCAGCCTCGCTCCTCCTTCCCCGGCTCTGAGCTCGGAGCGCTCAAAGCCCCACGCAGACACTGTCAGGCCCAGCGGCACAGCTCAGCCACGCTCTCAGAGCCCCAGAGACAACTCGAGTCTCCTCACGACGGCAGAGCCGTCTCTATTCATTCAGACCTGAGACATCTCGGAACCGATGTCTCTTCAAGGGTGCAGCTCCCACGCACTGACCATTTTGCTTCTGGCACAGTCTCCCTCTGCCCAGATGACAAGTGACTGCTGAGCACATGCCAGACCCCATGCTCCAGCCCACCGCCCAGGAGAGCAGACCACTCACTATCAACGTCACGCGAGGCCTAGAGATGTTAAGTAACTTGCCCAAGGTCACACAGCTGCTAAGGAGAGCCAGGTTTGAGCCCCAGCAGTCAGACCCCCAGTGTCGCTGTCACCACCACCCACAAGGAGACTCTCCAAGCAGGACTATCCTTCAGGCTGAGTGAAAGAAACCAGACACAAAAAGCCGAATGTTGTATGATTCCCTTTATATGAAATGTCCGGAACGGACAAACCCATAGAGACAGAAAGTGGATTCGTGGCTGTCAGGGGCTGGGAGCGGGAATGGGGAGAGACGGCTAATGAGGACGGGGTCCCCTTTTGGGGTGATGGAGATGTTCTGGAACTAGACAGAGGTGGTGGTTAAACAACACACTGAACATGCTAAACACCACTGAAGTGTATACTTTAGAACAGTAGATTTTACGTTATATGAATTGTACATCTCAATTTTTTAAAAATCCACTACTTATGGTATAGGAAACTAAAAAAAAAACTTGGAAGCCCCCAAAAGCTCAAGTTTCCAATGAGTGCATCGGTGCCCCCCCTTTGCCCTGCTCCACCATCACTGCTGGGAACTCCCTGCACTGCGTGTGACACAAGGTTGATTCCTCCAAAACCAGCCATGTGCTTACCTGTACTTCATTGGTTTTCTGTCTGATTGCCTCTTCCTTTTCCCTAATGTCTTGTTCCAGGGAGTATTTCTCTCTGTGTGTTTAAAAATAGTTCAGGAAAGCACAGGTAGAGTGAATGAGTTGACCATTCCCCCAGTATCCCAACTTCTCAAGACCCAATCCCATCCATCCCACAGAAACCCACCCGGGCTGACCCCACTCAGTGGGGGCAGAAGTATAGGAACGCCCCCCGTGACCATCTGCCCTACCTGACCTCCTCCCCTACAAGTGTGGGTCAAACCTGTGGATGCCATGAGGCTTTGCCCCCAACATGGCTGCGCAAGCCTTTTAAAGCAGAGAATGTCAAAGCAATGTCCAGGGTGAGAAGGGCTGGATGTGCCCCTGCTGACTTTGAAGATGGAGGGGTCACGAGAGAGCAGGCACCGGGCAGCCTCTCAGAGCAGAATGAGCCCCTGGCCACACAGCACGGAAAGCAGACCCCAGACCCCCAACTTTGAGGAACTCAATTCAGATCCCCACCTACTTGGACAACACCTTGAATTCGACCTTGTGAGGCCCTGAGCAAGAAGCCCAGTTAAGCCCATCTAGACTCCTGGTCTACAGAGCTGTGCACTAATAAATTTGTGCTGTTTTAAGCCATTCCATACACAGCAAGAGAAAATGAATACATTCTCTAAATCCTATGTACACTTGCTCATGCATGGTGAGCAACAACTGCTCAGAAGACTGAGCACTGAAGACACGACGACACACAGAGAGAGGCCCTGCCTTCATGGAGCTCACAGGCCAGTGAGAGAGACAGGCGACAAATCAACACACAAAGGCACACAACCTAAGTACCACGAAGGGAAATCCAATGGGATAAGGAAAGGGGGTGTGCAATGTCCTGCATAGGATGACCAGGGAAGGACTCTGAGGACATGGCCTATGAAGAGAATATACGATGGAAAAACATTCTAGGCGATGGGAACAGGAAGGCATAGCTCGGCTGGGGGAGCCATGGTGAGGTGTCTGGAGTGATGCAAAGTTGGATGAGGAGTCCAGAGGACTGGCAGCAAGACGCGGCAGTGAGGGTCTCTGGGCCCGGCAGCTGCCCCCAGCTACTCCCTCACAGGAGGCTGTGGCTGGCCGCTGTGCGCACCAGGGCTTGGTGGGGCCCTGCCTGCCTCCTCAGCTGCAAACAGCTCCCCCGGGGCAGCAACCAGCCTTGCTCTCCTCCTTAGAGACTGACTGTTTGTGCCCCCCACAAATTCATATGTTGAAACCCTAACCCCCCAGTGTGACGGTTTTTGGAGGTGGGGCCTTTGGGAGATGCTTAGGTCATGAGGGTAGAGCCTGCAGGAATGGGATTAATGCCCTTACGAGAGACCCCAGAGACCTCCTTGCCCCTCCACCCTCTGAGAACATGGTGAGAAGACACTGTCTATGAACCAGGAGATGGGCCTCATCAGACACTGGATCTGTCTGCACCTCTATCTCGACTTCCAGCCTCCACGATGGGGGTAAGTATGGGCCTGTTGTTCAGGCCCCCCAGTCTGTGAGTTTGTTACAGCAGCCTGAAGGGGCTGCCTCGGCATCAGAAACCTCATGTGGCCAACATACCCCGCCTCCCCTGCTGGGAACCCAGCCCTTGCTCGACAGTAAGGCCCCCTCTGGGACATTGGGCCAGACACGGAACCGCGAGCATCTGCACGTTCGTTTCCACAAGTCTAAGAACTACCTAACGATACAACGTGCTCTTTACATCCAACCCATTACGACTGAGTCACGTCAAGGGGAGAGGCGTGTGTCGCCACACCGCCAAGCAACAGGCCTGAAGGTCACTCTCAAAGCCACCCAGGCCTGGCTTCCTGCACACTCTTGCTCTGCACACGCTTGCCTCTTGCCTTCACAGGGAAACGCTCCAGGCTGCCAGAGGCTGCACAGCTGTGAAGAGGCAGCCCTGGCCTGACTGGGACACCACTGTCCCTTCCAAGACCCCAACCCTTGCATTACAGGGTCCCCTCCCTCCTCTACCTGCAGTCCTGATTAACAGGCCCACCCAGGCTCTAAGACACTGGCCCTCCATCCTCACAGACCCTCTCAGCCTTGCCAGGCTGCACGTGCTGATTTCTGGTTTGGAAATACAGCCCCAGGGAGCAGATGACAGAATGGGAGCCATCCTCTGGGCTGAGCATGAAGCAAAGGGTCTGGCTTCAGCAGGCGGCCAAGGCTGAGGCTTTGTGGCCAGCCAGCCACCCACCTAACCAGTCTCACATGACATCTGACCTGCCTTTGCTTCTCAGGGCTCTGCTCCACTAAGGACACAAACTACACCACCCAAGGGGCATCCAGCTGTGAGTGGGATCCAGCTCGCTCTGGCGAAGTGATGTTGTTTTCATTTTCGGTCAAGAAACAGTCCGTCTCCTGTGGAGGGCTGGGTGCCTTTGGCCCTTCTGCTCGTTGCACCCCACCCCCCAGCCCTCCCCCAGAATTAATTGGTAAGAGGATGCTGTTCTGCAGAAGATCACAGGGGCATACAGGAAGTAGATGTATTCTTTTATGCCAGACTCTGAGAGTACAGACACCCCATCCAAAGCCCTTGTTTACAAGTGGGGAAACCAAGGCAGTGGGCGCTGGGAACGAAGACAGAAACCTGGACACAAGGCCTGAGACTCAGAGTTGACCTGTTGCTCCTAAGCAGCAATGTCACTACCTGAGACTCAGTCACTTTATGTGTTCAGAAATTACAAGGCCCTCCTGAGGCGGGGGTGGGGGGTGGTGGGGGGGTGCCCTGCAGGCCGCCCAGCAACAATGTTTCTGAGACCCCACAGCCCACACCGGCTCCCACTGAGGATGTCAGTACTTGAGCTCATTAAGTCAATTCAGGAACTCAGGAGAATCTGTGTCCCTTCATTTCTGCTGAACAAACTCATGATGGTCAACTCGCCACATGGTTCACAAGCCTCTGCTACTTCCAATAACAACCTGGGACGTAGATTTGGTTGGAATCTGAAGGGAAGGAGACGCTTTAACATACCTTTGTAACTGGGCGATCTCTTGACTGATATCATCAAGTTCCTTCACACCAGTAAACTCCCCCGATCCAAGAGAACTTGAACTGTCCTGCAACCAAATTCAGACAAAGAATTACAAATTGACTAGCTGACCTCACCGCACAGCATGGGCTAGTAGGTCTTAGAATAAGGGATAAAATCATCTGTCTCCAGCCCCCAACCTGGGAACCATCTGGGCAGCCCAGACACACCCCGAGTGGCCCTAGTGAAGGCTGGGCAGGCTGCCAGCGCCACCTGGTGGCGGGATGAGGGAAGTGACGCAAACACGATAGGGATGGGCCAGCAGCTACTCACCGGGATGGGAGTGACTCTCTCTGAAGGTGGGACCATGTCCGGCGAGAGGACTTGAGGGGGGTCGATGCCTTTACTGACCTTCTGCTGAATGAAATACATAGCTAACGCGAATTGGTCTTTGCTTAACTTCCCCGTTTGCCTCGTATCGGCCAGGGCCCTGGGAGAAATGTGGGGATGCTAATTACACATCACAAACACCAGAATTGGTTCCAAGTACACGGAACCCACACTTCTAAAAAATGGACAACAAAAACGATAAAAACAACGGGCCACAGCTGCAGCTCCTTTTCTACTGAACATCCCCCTCCTGGGGAGCAGTCCCAGCCCCCCCACCAGAGCGTCAGGGCAGGAGGGGGCTCTTCTCCCAATTGGAGAACCGCCAAGCCCCCATCACGGGCCGAGGAGCCGGTCCCTTGGGAAGCCCTGTTAGCAGCCAGGAGACACGCAGCTGGCTTCTGATGGTGTGCAGGCAGTGGATGCGATTCACATTCCTGTGCAAACGGAAGCTGGAGCCGAGTGCACACACTCAGACCCTCAGCTGGTTCCTGCAGCCTTGGGTTATCAGAATGGCCTGAGCCGCTGGTCTTCAATGGGGATGACAAGCAGCATTTGGGGTTGTCATCATGAGGGGACGGGGCCTGGAAAGCCAGGCATGGCTACACAGGGGACAGTCCCTTGCTGCTAAGGTGACCCCACCCTTGTGGCCTTCTGGTGTCCTGGCACATGGGCAAGGCAGTGTGGAAGCTCTGCCACACCCGTGGTCACCGAGAGCTGGCCGTACGGGAAGGGAAGCCTCACGCAGCCAGGACAAGGCCTCCACATCTGTGAAAAATGTCATCCCTTCACTCTGTCCACTCAACACGCAGTCTCCTTCCCACTGCACGTAGTTACTGAGAGGGTAGTGAAACCATGTCCTGATGCAGAGCGAAGAAGAGCCGGGGACGTGTAACAGACTCAGGCCCAAACGCTGTGAGCGAACAGGGCTGGTGGAGATCCCTGTAAATGTCTCTATTCAAGGCTGGTTTTAAAATGTCTGTTCTTGTCACAGTTCAAGGGCGGGGCGTGATAATTTCGAACTGCAACTATTTCTCCTGATTCTGCTGGCAAGGGCCAGTCCTGCTGCACACCCAGCCCACGGCAGCTCTCGGGCTGCGGTCCCATCTCTCTGGCCCGTCCCTGCTCCCTGGTCTCTGAAGGAGCGGAGGCCCCCAGGCCCACGTGCAGGGGTACTCTGTCCGCGTCCACCCAGGGCAGCATTACTGTGCTTATTCTGACACCACGGGGAGTGGCACGGTGCCGGGCACTGCGGGGGACAGGCCTGCGTCCTCGTTTTGTCCCTTCAATCCTTCCTGGCTTGTTATCTCCACTTTGGATATGCTCCCACACCCGGCCACCTGCAAACAAACCCAGACTGTCCTTTCACTGTCCCAGTGGTTATTCTAGAGCTCACTCTTTCGTCCCTGCCTTTTTTTCCCTGTATGCAATGCCTTCTGCGTGTTTTCTTTTTAATCCAAGCGTATTTGTGATTTCGTTGTGTCATTTACGTATTGTCATGTCACTTACAGGTTGAGATACATGTTATAAATTACACTATGTTATGATAGGGGTATAATTTGAATTCCGTGCACGTGCATTTCAGCGTGATAAAGGGGGCACTGGATCTGAAGGGCCTGATAGAGACTGCCCCTGACTCGTCACAAGGGGCCAGGCTTCCCACAGTCTTTTGCTAACTGACTAGGTGTCGTGTGCTTCTTGAGAAGGGACAGCCCGTTTTCTCCAGCAGGGCCTCACCTTGTAACGTGGCTATCTCTGAATTACTGTTAAGGATGGTTATTTCCCCAAGTCACAGTGAATTTCACAGCTCTATTTGGAGGGGGTCACCCCTCCGGAATTACATGGAAATTCTCTTCTTACAAAACTCTCAAGTGAAGCCCTCTAAAGTGGGAGGGCTTTCTCCCCTGAGAAAGCTAGGAAGCGACTTTCACCACTGGCTAGTTACAAAAGGAGCCATCCCGGTGCCATGAAGATCGCTCTGCCGGCCCTGGAGGAAAGTGGGGGTGAAGACGGCTCCTCGACCAGCCCTGAGGTACAGACCAGTCTCACCCTCTCCCACCAGCCGTGTCACTGACCTTCACGGGGCAGGGCCTCTAGGAGAGACGGCCACAGCCCTGATGCCCAGGGTGGCCCTGCCGGAGCCTCTGGGGCCCTTACTGCACCCTCCCACCAGAGGGGGGTGGGGCCGAGCAACTGCACCCTCACTGGCTGGGCTGAAGGCTGCATAACCACTAGCAAGAACTTGCCCCAGAGCTCTCTGGAGGGACAAACAGGAGACCTTCCTGCTGGAGGAGGGTGAACTGACATGCACAGAATACAGGGTACAGGTCTTTACACTCAGCCCTGACTACCGCTCCCTCCTGTCCTGCTCACCCGCTCCGGCCCTTCACACAGCACAAGTCTCACTCAACGTGTGAGCCACCCACAGCCGTTACTTTGACACAGCGAGACCCCCTGTACTTAGGAAGAGACGTCCATCTATCTGCTCTTACCATATGTGTGCTAGAAGGTTCTGGGTGAGGCCCGAGTGCATGAAGATCTCCTTCACCTCCTGGCCGCTCACATAGCCGTCCAGGTCTAGGTCAGTCTTCAGAAATATCTCGTCAAATCGCATCTTGTCCGCCACTGGCACCACCCAGTTTACTGTTGGCTGAAAAGGTTTTTCAGAAGTTAATCCTCAAGCTTTTTATCACCTGCAAATACACACTATTAAAGTGTTTTCATGCTCATTTTAGCAGAAAACCCTCCACGAGCCAAGAGGGCAGACAAGATCCCTGTTCTGTAAGTGCGGAAACTGAGGCTCAGAGAGGTTAATGCTGACTCGGTCAGTCTTACCCAGTGGCCAGTCTGTACCTCTTTCCACCCCATCACAGTGCCCTGAAATCTTTGTACTGAGAGGGATGTAAAGACGCAGCAGGTCCTTCTACCAATAGCCCTTCCATCCCCGCTGCCTGGGACACGAAGGAAAGCCTTCCACGATGGAAAGTGATCCCCTTCCAGGAGGGGGCTTCAAGTGTACCAGAGAGGACCCTCCTGACCACTCATTTTGGAAGGACTTTCTCCCGAGAACCGGCCCAGCACCGATGCCAGCGTTCCTGGCCTTCTGTCCTCCACCTGCAGACCTTCTTTGCAGCGGCAGGGGCATTCTCAACGCCCACAGTTCCAGGATTCTGTACTCCATGCTTCTTTGACCCTGACCCCACTCCCTGCGACACAGCAGACCCCCTGTGAGGTGTCAGTACACACAAGGCACTGACAGGCACTGAGTGAGGCTGATGTGAAAACTGCACCTGCATGACAGGCGGGCACTCAGGGCCCTGTGGTGCTGGTGGGGGAGCCCACGCCTCTGAGGAGCACGCCCACCACCTGTGAGCGCCCCACATTCACGAGGACCCTGCTGTGGCAGACGAAGCTGAGAGCCCAGCGAGCTGCTTTGATTTCAGTGCATTGGGGCTCGGCCACCTCGTGCACCTGTGACCTCTTACACCACCTGCTCCAGTTCTACTTAAGAAAAGCAAATGCCAGGGTCCGCCAGGGCCAGAGCACCTCCAACTCAGAGGCATCCAGGCCCCTCGGGCACTTGGTGGCAGGCCTCTTCAATTGCTTATTCTGGGTGTGTCACCTCTGACCTTTGGGGCTCCCATCACAGCACGTTTCACAGCGTCTCTGCCCCTTTTTGTAGAGATGTTTCCTTTCATCTGCTTTTCTGACCAGGTCTCTCTTATCATCTAAATCAGTGGGATCCTGATGTGAGCACCAGGAATCCAGAAAGCAATTTTGGGAAGAAAGGGACAACACATTACCCAGGGTTTGGGGTAGGGAGTAGAATGATTTAGGACAGCAAGGATTTATCAAAAAAAAAAAAAAATCATCAGAATTTACGGACCAGATTCAAATTGCAAAGGCTCAGGCAGCGAGAACTGAGATAGCGTTTTACCTGCTGCATTACAGGAATTTTCTAAGCCACCTCAGGTCTGTCATTGAACAGTTCAGAGGAGACGTGAAGATGCACATAAAGGAGCTTTAATGAAGAGGCTTGCTGTCTTTAAGTCAAGAGCCTGGAACGAGCTCATACGCTGACACTGAGATGCCCACAGAAGAAGGAGCAATGGTCAGACAAGCTGAGCTGAGGCGGGATTGGTTTCTGGGTCCCATGGGCCCCAACAGATCATGCCTCTGGGATGATGAGGGTCCAGACATTCATTGCGCAAACACAATGAACTTGCTGCCTCATTTCTGGGGGTCTCAGGGTATGTCAGCAGCAAGAATCCGATGCCTACTTAGCTAAAAATCCAACACTGAACAACCTCCCCCTTGGAGCTGGGTCTCCTGGAAAGGGCTGGGTTTAAGGTCAGCTTAGCAGCTGTAGGCCTCCAGTCAATGGGAACAGACCCTGGTGGCTGGAAGGGGCTTCCCCTCACATATGGCCACGAGAGCTGGACTGGGCGGCCCTCTGGGGGCCCCAGGTAGGGTGTTGTTGCCCTGGGGATGAGGAAAGTGGGGGAGGGGAAAGCATGGAACTTGTGGGTCCACAGAAATGCCCGTTCTCATGTCTGCAATTCCACCAGCTGCCCCTCTCCCAAGGGGACAAAGACACCCCCACCTGTGACCCCCAATAGCGGCCACTAGTACAACTGGTCTAGTCAGGGGGGTCAGCAGCATGCTCCTGGGATCTGGGGAGAGCTGCCAGATCACCAGGGGGTGGTATTATGAGGCTGGCTGGCCTGCACCCAACAACAACTTCAGCCCTGCCTGCTTCCTTGTCGGTAAAACATACTCCATCTAGCCTAACCTACAGTACTTAAGAGCTTTCGGCAAGAATTCTGCAGACTCAAGGTGTTGGGTCTTGAAACACAGCAGCTCATGTAGGTCTAAGTAGCTGGCCTCAGCCCCGCTTCTCCGACTCCATCTCACCATCCCCTGGCTAACCCTGCCTCAGCCTTTTTCCAGTTTCAAGGACACACGGAGCGTTTCCACTTCAGAGCCTTGCCATGCACTAGTCCTCAGATGGCTTATCATTCAGGTGTTAGCTCAGATGTCACTGCAGCAGCGGTAGCCTGCCAGCTGGCCCCATCTGCGGGAGCACGCCCCCCTCCTCACGCCGACACTTCCAGGCCAGGCCCTGCTCTGCTTTCTCATGACTGGTGGACCTTCCTTAGTTTACCAATTTGCTTATCGTCTGTCTCCCCACAGAGGGCAGGGGTCCATCGCACAGTCACTGCAGCACCCCCAGGAAGTGCCGGGCATGGCTGGTGAGCTGGCAAAGGTGCCCAGGCTGGGCCATCTGAGGCTGGGCTCCTTCACAGAGAGCCGCATACAACTCACCAACCAGAGGCCACGCCTCTCCAACTGGCCAGAGTGGTGAGGGGAGTTGTGTTAGCCCCTATGACCAAGCCTCATCGACCCTCTCTGATCTCTTTTTTTTACTCTAGGATGTGATAAGCTCCTTGAAAATGAGCCTTGCAAGTCGAATATTTAACTTTAAAATTATGTCACTATCAAGAGAAATCACTGTCTCATTATGCCTTTCTCGTTTTCATTTTTATCATAGTCCAAACTTGCATGGGGTGCTGGCTGGCCTTCTTGTCACAACTCATTGTTTTGCCTTTGAAACCACAAATGAGGTAGAAAGTAAAGCATGATTCCACATGTAACTCACGTCCTTGCACATTTTAGACAATCTCCAAGGTGCCCTTTTATAAAGAGCCCATTATGATGCTGCCTTTGCCAGAATAAGAAACGTCTTTTTTGACATATAAGATACTGCCACATGGCGAGATGGAGCCCCCTCCTGTCTTCCTAACACGAGATGGATACCTCCCTTAATTACCTGATTACTCAACATATTTTTAATGAGCATCAGAGTACCAGAGATTCTTCTAGATGCTGAGATTATAACCAAGAACGAACTCTGCTCTCATGAAGCTAATGGCGGGGGGTTGGGGGGGAACTGGACAGATGATACATAATTAACCGCATAACAGGCCAGCTGTGGGAAATATAGAAGAGAGCAGGTAGAGGGTGGCTGGTCCAGGGTGTGGTCACACCAGGCTCCCCAGATGAGGTGCCCCGTGAGCAGAGGCTCACGACACCAGGTGCCTCAGTATGCAATCTGGGGACACGCCCTCCCAGCAGAGGGTCTGCCCGAGGCAGGAGGGGCAGGGGGGTGAGTAGTGCTGGGTGTGCTTGGGGAAAGGCGGTATTTATGTGTAAGTGAATGAGAAACTTAATTCTGAATCCCTGTTGCTATGGTCTGAATGTTTGTGTCCCCCGCCTCCCCTCAATTCATACGCTGGAAGTCCTAAGCCCCACTGTGATGGTATTAGGAAGTGGGGCCTTTGGGAGGTGATTAGGTCGTGAGGACAGAGCCCTCACGAATGGAATTAGTGCCCTTAAAAAAGGGACCCCAGAGAGCTTCCATGGCCCTTCCGCCATGTGAGGACCCAGCAAGAGGACGGCCACCTGTGAACCAGGAACTGCCCCACCAAACACCGAATCTGTCGGCACCTCGATCTTGGACTTCCAGCTTCCAGAACTGTGAGAAATGAATATCAGCTATTTAGAAGCCACCCAGTCTACAGCATTGTTACAGCAGCCAGAGAGGACTAAGAGACACCTATTGTAAAGATTTAATTTAATCACAGACTTTACCCTTCTTGGGCCACGAACTACGTGCTGCTGCTGAGAAACATCTTGCTGGCACTCTACACAGCAGTGCAAACAGCTGCCCGGAGACGTGGCCACGCATGCAGGGGGCACCGTACCTGTGTTTGCTTGATACTGTGCTTGGGAGACAGGCTTCCAGTGCTGTTCAGGCTGCTGACGCTGCCGTGGGAAGGCGTGGAGCGGAGGCTGTCTTTCGGTGGGGGGCTGGCAGGCAGGACAGGCACAGCTCCCGGGAACACCGTCTTCTTCCTCTTGGATGGTGGGATGAGGGATGGGGGCAGGGCGGAGGGCACAGGCTCCTTCTCAAGGGCTCGGTACACCAAGTGCATGGCCTGTGAGCACAAAAGAGAACGGCGTTTAGGTGGTGAGGCCCAGGGCCAGGGTGGGCAGAGGGCAGCTCTTTCAAGGGCTGCAGTGATGTGATGAAGACTGCTCTTTTTGAGGTTGCTTCCAAATGGAGCACAGTAAAAATAAACCTTTCTGATGAGCTACACTGCCAATGCATAATTTTCTAAGACATATGTTTAATCATGAGAGACTGAAATGAGTACAAAAGGAATACAATCATGCCAGACTCCACACATGTCCCTTCGCCACACAGCAAGGCCACTGTCTCCAGGCCTGACGACTTTCAAAGTAATGGAACGTGGAAGTCTACAGACTCACCATGATAGTACACCTTAAACCTATATAGTGCTGTCTGTCAATTACATCTCAAGAAAACTGGAAGGGGAAAAAAAGACACACCATGAGAGCTGCATGTACTTCAAGATATTCAGGAGACACAAAACTACCCAAAAGGGTGTGTGTGCTGAGGATGGACAGGTGGCTCTCCTGCTCGAGGTAGGCAGGGGAAAATAAACTTTGTCTAAAACAAGGATTGAAAAGTCTATTTTAAAAAGTAACAAAACAAAACCAAAATGACAACCTCCCCCTACCCCGCCACTTCAAACTAGTCTTTAAGTTGCTACCAACAGATCATTAACACAGGTAAAAATTTAGTCACTTAAAAACTGTACTAAATGCCACTCAGCTAGTGATGAAAAGAAACACAAAACGACACAACTCTAAGACCCACTTATAAAAGAATATAAATCTTGGCTGAAATGATGAGAAATGATAAAAACAAAAGTAGAAATTCAGGGCTCATGAGGCTATGAGGAGAGAGGCGTGTTCCTGGGTTCACTCCAGGCCAATCACCCCTTCCTGGAGACCACCCCAAAGGCAGTTCAATGATACTAACTAACACCTGAAGTCAAATGCCATCAAAAGAAATATAAAAACAAGTAAGGGGCTTGGGGGAGGGGGGATGGGGAGTTAGTGTTTCATGGGGACGGAGGTTTAGTTTTGCAAGGTAAAAAGAGTTCTGGGGATGGATGGTGGTGATGGTTGCACAACCATGTGAATGTATTAATACCACTGAACCGTACACTTAAAGATGGTTATGATGGGACTTCCCCGGTGGTTCAGTGGTTAAGACTCCATGCTCCCAATGCAGGGGGCCGGGGTTCAATCCCTGGTCAGGGAATTAGATCCCACATGCCGCAACTAAAAGGATCCCACATGACACAACGAAGATGCCACACGCGGCAATGAAGATCCCACGTGCCGCAACTAAGACCAGGCACAGCCAAATAAATAAATAAATATTTTTAAAACTAACTAAATAAAAATGGTTATGATGGTAAATTTTGTTATGCGTATTTTACCACAATAAAAAAAATAATAATGGACAGCTAGTGAAAAGGAACAGGATGATGGAGAAACATGGAAAATGCTCAAAGTAAAAAAGGCAAAACAGAGTCGATGTGTGGGGGAAAAAAACACAACTGAGTACTATGGGGTGTAAGAGATGATGAGTGGAATTGTAAGAGAAATTTATAATTTCCTTGGCAAATGGTTTAAATTTAACCTAGAAGTTTAAAATCTCAAAGGCTTTACACCATAGTATAGTAAGATAATAACAAGCTTTCATTCATGTGTATGTTGTAAAATCACATTTTAAAGACATTTAAAATTCCTAAAACAGAAGATGTACCTTAGGGATATGGATATAGTTCATCGTTTTCTATGACTTAGGAATTCCCAGCTTTTTTTTTTCTGCTTGAACTTAATTACTGTTTATTAGAGCACTGTCCTTATCTACAAGGGGCTACTTTATTCTACTTTGAGATTTAACAGAATGAGATGAGTGAATAAATCTCATGAACGGGAGAGAGAGATCAAAGATGTGAGTAAGGAGAGGGGAAGGGAGAAAGAAAAAGAGGGACAGAACGACATGGGCCCAGGGTGGGGAGGCGAGAGCCAGGCAAAGTCAGTGCAGCAGGCAGCTGGGAGAGGTGAATGGTGAGCTACGGGGGTGTGGAGGGAGGGCAGCTGAATGGGAAGGCAGCCCATAGGACACAAGAGCCCCAATCCTCACATAGATCTAGCACTGCTGCTAAAAGGAGAAGAGGGTGGGAGTGTCAGGGCTCTGGCATGAACAGAAGCAGACGTGGAAGTAGATGGCAGGCTGCTAGGGCACCTGGTGGGCATGTCTACACATATGCCTACTTCCCAGCTCTGTCTGCTGAGAAGGCCTGGAAGCAGTGGCATCGCAGGGGCACTGAGCACCCCAGTGCCCAGATCCTGGTTTCTAATACCATTCTCCACTATAAGGAACTGGGGGTCCCTGGAAAAGTGGCTGATGATGGAGCTGAGAGAGGGGATGGACAGGAAGAGCCAGGAAAATCCCATCATGCCAAAAGTAAGCAAGTGCTCAAGAATGATATGATGTGACCAAATGACAAAGGAGTCAGCTGGGAGGAACTCCCAATGGGCACAATAAATCATGCCAGTAAAGGATTATAAACCATGGAACAGAGAACAGAGGACACCTCCATAAGTCCACTCTGATATGAACAAGTGCCTTACAGCAGAAGGCCAGCTAGAAAATGTGCAAGGAATGACAGAATTAGAAAATCATCATCTGGCAACTACCAGAAACCTGACTGATTCAGGTGAGACTCCTGGGAGGATGCAAGAACTAGCGGGTGAGAGGTGTAGGGGTAACAGGGTATTCAGTCTCCACGTGTCTCTCATGAAAGATTGAGCACAAAGGAAAAGAGAGAATCCGAACTTGATCAAGGTCGGGTCAAGGTTGACATCAAGGTAGTACGACATGGAATAAGACATCACATGTCCTATCGATGTCATGTGCCCTGGGGAGAACAAGCGTCACCTCGGTGGGGACCTACCACACAAAAGTGCATGGCCTGGATCATCATCAGGAAACAGCAGACAACCCCACACCGAAGGAGACACTACACACCACTGGCCTTAAAAATGCCCACATGGCCATGAGACACAAAGACAGATGCAGGAGCTGATCTAGATTATAAGAACACGAGGCTGGGGCTTCCCTGGTGGCGCAGTGGTTGAGAGTCCGCCTGCCGATGCAGGGGACATGGGTTCGTGCCCCGGTCCGGGAAGATCCCACATGCCGCGGAGCGGCTGGGCCCGTGAGCCATGGCAGCTGAGCCCGTGCTCTGCAATGGGAGAGGCCACAACAGTGAGAAGCCCGTGTACCGCAAAAAAAAAAAAAAGAACACGAGGCTGTAGTCTCTTTCACTATAAAGGACATTTTGGGAACAACTGGCAAAATGTGAATAATATCCTTAGGTTAGATAATAGATTAATACAATAATAGATATATTAATATATAACATATATGATATAACCTATCATAATAGATACTGTAATAAATTAGACAATGTCAATTTCCTGATTTTGAACTGGACAGCGGTTATGTAAGAGAATTCTCTGGTTTGGGGATACAAACACTGAAGTATTTCAGGATGAAAAGGCCCATGTCTGAAACTTACTTCAAAATGGTTCAAAGGGAAAATTAATTGTGTATACATATCCATGTATACATTCATATGCAAATGAGAGAGAAGGAGAGAGGGAAGGGGAGAGAAGGAGAGGGAGAGAGGATAAAACAGTGTAGTAAAACAGCAACACTGGGGAATCTGAGTGAAGATTCGAAAGAATTCTCTGTCAAATTACACCCAAATTAGGTCAAAATAAACATTTAAAAAATTAAACAAGAAACCCCCACATGAGCTGCACATTTGCTTCCTCAGCAGAGTGGGAAAAGAGAGTCACAGCAGGGGCCTACCACAGCAAACTCATCTCTGTCCAGGTGCCCGTCCTTGTCGATGTCACTGAGGTCCCAGACCTGCAAGGGAAGAGAGCAGCAAGGCTTAGCGGGGGGGGGGGGGGGGGGGGGCGCGGTACCAAGGGTTACTGCTGGGAGGAAGGGCCTGTGTGGCAGCACGCATGCCCACCAGAACTCAGATTTTGACTGCACACCAGGGTTAAGACAAGGCAATCAAAATGCATTTAAGAACCAGTCTGTAGGTTCTCTGAAAAACCATCATCCAATGAAGACTGTCAATTCCAAGATCCTTTCCACCATATTAACATTCATTTTCTCTAACAAATGATCATGATTGTAATCACGTCCACCCTGATTTTTAGATTCTTTGGTTTTGGTGCAGGTGTTGCTCTGAACACAAGCCCGCCTTCCCGCCCCCACTGGCTGACACACACACACACACACAGACACACACACATCTAGCCCCTGCCCCCATTCACGGCAGGGCCACGGGAATGCATTTGAGTAGGTCTGTGGGATCTTGTCTCCTCTCCCCTATCAGTGGATGGTGAGAAAGATCCCACAAAATATGCCAGGCCGACCTAGCATCCTGAAAGACAAGGCAGGCATGGATCAAAGGCTGTGTGCTGGGTTTTCTAAAGTACAACCAAGGCACTAGCTTCCTGACCCAAGTCAGCCCTCCAGGACCAGAAGCCTGTCTGACTTGGACAGTGCTGCACACGGCACCAGTGCCCAGAGCCAGGTAGAAGCCCAGGGTCCATCTGTGATGCTACATATGCTGGTACCTGCGCCCCCAATCAATCACTAGGATCTTCAGCCCAGGGATGTTTCTCACATGTGGACCCTCCTCTTCACCCCCTGCTGCTGTGTCCTTGGCTTGGGCCTCTCCAACACTCCACAGAGGCCAGAGCTTCCAGCTGGCCTCCCTGCCTCTAGTCCTGTACCCAGGGTAACCACAGGACCTGCTCTAGAATGCACTCTCACCCCACCTCACCCTGCTGACGGCATCAAGTCCCTGTGCACATGGAGACCACTGTGCCCTTAGCTGGTCCCTCAACCCCAGCCTAGTCTTGATCTCCACCTTGATCTCTAGGGACTTCAAATTGTTCGCAGTCCCCTCAAGCATACGGATGCCCTTTTAAAGGTGTCTGGCACTCGGCTGAGTGTTTTATGTCTTTGACCTCAATTTAAGAAGCAGAATCTCAGAAGAGTAATGTTCCCAAAAATATGGCACATACAGGCCTTCCTGACTCCACAGTCCTCCCCTGCCACAGCACCACTGATATTCGGGGCCAGATCATCTCTGTGGTGGGACATCCTGTGCATTATAGGATACTGAGAAGCAACCATGACCTCAACCTACCTGATATCAGTAACACCCAACCCAGGTGGGACAACCAAAAATGTCTCCAGGTACTGCTCAACATGCCCTGGGGGTAGAACCGCCTGGTGAGAATATCAGCCGTACTCAGCGTGCCTCTGCTCATGCTGTCTTGTGCCCGGCCTTCTCAACCCGTCATCTGCCACCTGTTCCTTCCCTCTAAAGGCTATAACCCAGGGGCACCTACTCTAGGCAGCCTTCCCTGCCTGCCCTGTACCCCTCTGCTCTGGCGGGTCAGGAACCTCCCCCTCTACCACTGTCCCCAGCAAGCAGAACCGTGATTATCAGGGAGGCAGTGGTTGTGGGGGGGGCGGGGAGCACCAGGGAAGAGTGCAGGCTCTGTGGACCACCAGGACCTCATTCCCTTCTCCATGCAACCCTGAGCGACTAACCAGCCACTCTGAAGGACCCCCATTTCCTCACATGGAAAATGGAAGTGACACCATTCATAACAAAGTAGTTGCAAGTACTTGGTGACTTCATTCCTGCAAAGCGCTAGAATAGGATCTAGCACATACTAAGCCCTCAACAAATACCAAGATCTTAACTATTACTTACTTATTTGATCTCCTGGACTGTATTTAATTTCATCCCCATTTTCCCAGTGCTCAGTACAAAGATGGCCCAGAGAAGACTCCGAAAAATGCTTCTGAATGACTAAATGGATGCATAATGCGTGGGTGCAGGGATGCACAGGTGAATAAGTGTGTGCACAGATGCAAGGATGGATGCCTGAGTGCATTGATGCATACCACAGATGGATGGATGCATGGACACAGATGCATGCATGGGTGTGAATGCACGCATGCATGGATGGGTGCGTGAATGTGGATGCATGCATGTATGGATGGGTGCATGGACATGGATGCATGCATGCATGAACGGGTGCACGTGTGGGTTGATGCTTGGAGGGAGGGAGAGACCGAGAGAGGAGTAGATGAGAAGTGACCCCTGTGGACAAGACCTGGAGCCAAGGTAGAAGATCTGCAGAACTCACCCTTCCTAGCCATAGCTCCCTTTCTAATAAAGCACACTCCACCTCTGTTGATCTCTTTGTCTTGTTCAGGATTTGGCTCTATAACATTATTACACCCAACTTTCAGGTATTTTGAAGAACTGTCACACTGTGCAGGAGCAGATCACCCCATCCTGCCTCATAAAGACCACTGGTGATCAGCGTGGGTCCCCATCATAGGCCTCCGTCTACACCACACCACAGCCAAAAAGAAGACAAAGGGATCTGTGAGATCCCCTTTCTTAGTGGCCTCATTTCAAAACAAAGTCCTATCTGGATCCTATCAAATGGGCCAGTATATGCAAAAGTGATATTCAAACAGGAAAATTATTAGGTGAATCCAAGTGGGTAGGAATTTGCACCCTTCCCCATGGTTCTACCAAATGTCATGAGTCAGACCCACAGGCGTGGCCTGGGGCAGCAGGGACCATGCTCCACCCTCCTGCTCTAGGTCTGCACCTGCCACAACAGCAATTCCATCCAGAGAGATGACAACATCCATCCCCTCTCGACCCAGAGCGGGAAACTCAGCACAGAGGTAGCCATGCAGAACTGGGCTTTGTGCACAGAGCAAACATGAGGGGCCATAACGCAAACCCATTAGAAGGAAAACAGTCTGGTTTAGAAACCTGTATCTAAAAAACTTGTATTTAATAGGAAGAAAACTGAGGCTTTTTTTTTTGTTAATAAAAATGGGGGGAATGCATAAAATTTTATCTAAACTTGCAGCAGAATTGAAAGTACCTTTACCTTAGGTTCATAGGCAGGAAAAAACAAAAATTAAAAATAGAAAAGAAATACAGACATATATGCCCATACTCTTCCCCTAGAAGCACAATGCAGAGGGGGAAATCACAGTCTGGGTTTGAGTCCCCAGCTCTGCCTGCCCCGAGCCCTGGGTAGTGAGTGCACTTCTCAGGCTGCTCCCCATGTGTGCTGGGGAGCCTCTGTGAGCTGCACCCTGTGAGGCCCCAAGCCAGCCCAACTGCAGCAATTGCTCCACCCATGTTGGCTCTCATGAAACCCAACACTGCATGGCTGTGCAGCAAGGCCTCGAAGTGTCCGTGGGGGGTGAGCATGGGGCTGACTGGATTCAGCAGCAGTGCCCGGTGTGAGAGAACCACTTACCCTACCCAGGACATCAAGAGGCAGCTTTGAGTTCATGAGGACTGGCTTGACTTTGTCTCCAGAAAGCAAACCACTGATGGGTAAGAGGCTTTCAAAAATTCCATCAAATTTTGCCTTTTCTTCTACCTAGTTGGAAAGAAACAGCCTGAGTGAAAAAGTGTGAGAGTCCAAAATGAGCCCTGGCCTGAAGCTGATTGAAAATGGGCAAGGACACAGCGCTGGGCTCACCTAAGAGTACAGGACTGTCCTACTGCACTTCCAGAGTGAACTCTAGCCAGAAGGATACAGCCCTCTGGTGACTATGGATCTGGTGGCCAAGATCAACAGGGGAGAGAGGAGCTGGGCTTCACTCTCTGCCACAGGGGATGCCTGGGAGACCAAGGTCATTCCTACCTACCTCCTAGCTCACTAGGATGAGAAAGATGAAAGAACGAAGAACTAAATCTGGATATCAATCCATAGAACTTAAACAACTAAAGAACCAAATATAAAAATAAACCAAAGATGTAAGTAACTAATTATCAAAATCAACTTTAAGCATAAGAAGTCCTCTGTGTCTGACAATAAAAAATAAATAAATAATAAAGCTCCTCAGGAACAGAGTGAAGGGCTGGGCAGGGTTTGCAATGCAGAATAGCAGCCTCTACCATTCTGAAATACAAAATGCGGGCAGCATGTAAAGGGAGCTGTCAGTGAGGAGGGTCTGGGCAGGGGCCTCCAGTCTGCCCTCCTATGGAAATAAAGCCTGTGGCAAGGGGAAGTGAGGATATGGCAAACCTCTCACCACTCTGACCACAAGCTGGAGCCACTGGGAGCCCTAGGAAAATACTCTCGACAAGTGTCCATCAATGCAACAATGGATAAACAAAATGGTCCATCCATACAATGGAACATTATTCAGCCATTAAAAGGAATAAAACACTGATGCACACTACAATATGGATGAACCATAAAAACATTACACAGAATGAAATAAGTCAGTTACAAAAAGATAAATGTTCTATGACTCCACTTACATGAGGTCCCTAAAGTACTCAGATTAATAGACAGAAAGTAGCATGGTGGGTGCCAAGGGCTGGGGGAGGGGGAATGGAAAGTTAGTGTTTAATGGGGACAGAGTTTTATTCTGCAAGATGAAAACGTTCTAGAGATGGACAGTGGTGATGGTTACACAACAACGTGAATGTGTCTAACACTACTGAACTATACACTTAAAAATGGTTAAGATGGACCTCTAGGACAACTTCAAACATACTAACATTCACATCATAAGGGTCCCAGAAGAAGAAGAGAGAGAGAAAGGGACAGTGAGCTTATTTCAAGAAATAGCTGAAAATTTCCATAACCTGGGGAAGAAAACAGATATCCAGGTCCAGGAAGCACAGAAAGTTCCAAATAAGATGAATCCAAAGAGGTCCACACCAAGGTATCATAATTAAAATGGCAAAAATTAAAGATAAAGAGAGAATCGTAAAAGCAACAACATAAAAGCAAGTCGTTACATACAAGCAAAGTCCCATAAAACTCTGCTGACTTTTCAGCAGAAATTTTACAGGCCAGAAGGAACAGGCACAATATACTCAAAGTGCTGAAAGAAAACACTTACAACTGAGAATACTCTCTACCCAGCAAGATTATCATTCAGATTTGAAGGATAAATAAAGAGTTTTACAGACAAGCAAAAGTAAGAGTTCAGCACCACTAAACAAGCCTTATGAGAAATGCTAGAGATTTCTCTAAGTGGAAAAGAAAAGGCCACAACTAGAAACAAGAAAATTATGAAAGGAAAAAAATCTCATTGGTAAAGGCAAACATACAGTAAAGGCAGGGATCAACCACTTATAAAGCTAGTAGGAAGGTTAAAAGACCAGCAGTAAAATCATCTATTTCTATAGTAAGTAGTTAAGAAAAACACAAAATAAGAAGATGCAAAATACGATGTCAAAAACAAAATGTGGTGAGGGGAAGTAAAAATGTACGATTGTTAGAATGCGTTCTAAATCTAAGAGAGCATCAACTTAAAATACTCACCTATGCATACGTTGTTATACATGAACCTCACGGTAACCACAAACCAAAAACCTATAATGGATCTACATAGACACAAAAGAGAAAAGCATCCAAACATAACACTAAAGAAAGTCACCAAATCACAAGGGAAAAGAGCAGAAGAAAAAAGGAACTCAGACTTCCCTGGTGGCGCAGTGGTTAAGAATCCGACTGCCAATGCAGGGGACATGGGTTTGAGCCCTGGTCCGGGAAAGATCCCACCCCACGGAGCAACTAAGCCCGTGCGCCACAACTACTGAGCCTGCGCTCTAGAGCCCATGAGCCACAACTACTGAGCCCGTGTGCCACAACTACTGAAGCCCACGTGCCTAAAGCCTGTGCTCCACAACAAGAGAAGCCACCACAACAAGAAGCCACCACAATGAGAAGCCCGTGCACCACAACGAAGAGTAGCCCCCGCTCGCCGCAACTAGAGAAAGCCCACATACAGCAAGGAAGACCCAACGCAGCCAAAAATGAATAAATAAATTTAATTTTAAAAAAATGGGAATAACACCACCAAGAATTAGAAAAGCATGCATTTAAAAAAAAGAAAAAAAGGAACAGCAACAATAAAACTACCAAAACGAACTGAAAACAATGAACAAAATGGCAATAAGTACATACCTATCAATGACTACTTTAAATGTAAATGGACTAAATGCTCCAATCAAAAAACATGGAGTGGCTGGATGGATAAAAAACAAGACCCATCTATATGCTGCCTTTAAGAGACTTCAGATCTAAAGACACATACAGACTGAAAATGAGGGGTTGGAAAAAGATATTCCACACAAATGGAAATGAAAAGAAAGCTGGGGTAGCAATATTTACATCAGACAAAATAACTGTAAAACAAAGACTGTAACAAAAGACAAAGAAGGGCATTACATAATGATAAAGGGGTCAATCCAACAAGAAGATATAACAATTGTAAACATATATGCACCCAACATAGAAGCACCAAAATACCTAAAGCAAATATTAACATAAAGGGAAAAATTGACAGTAATACAATAATAATTGGGAATTTTAACACCCCACTTACATCAATAGATCATCTAAACAGAAAATCAATAAGGAAAGCATGGCCTTAAGTGATACATTAGATCAGATGAAATTATTAGATATATATAGAACATTCCATCCCAAAACAGCAAAATACACATTCAAGTGAACATCGGACATTCTCCAGGACAGATCACACACTACAGCACAAAGCAAGTCTCAATAAATTTAAGACTGGAATCATATCAGTCTTTCTGACCACAACAGTATGAGACTAGAAATCAACTACAGGAAAAAAACTGCAAAAAACACAAACACATGCATTCTAAACAATATGTTACTAAACAACCAATGGGTCACTGAAGACATCAAAGAGAAAATCAAAAAATACCTGGAGACAAATGAAAATGGAAACAAAGTGATCCAAATTCTGTGGTATACTATTGTAAATCAGCTATATTCCAGTAAAATTTAAATACTTTTTAAAAAATCTATGGTATACAGCAAAAGCAGTTCTAAGAGGGAGTTTATAGTGCTACAAGCCTACCTAAGGAAACAAGAAAAATCTCAAACAATCTAACCTTACACCAAAAGATACTAGAAAAAGAGAAACAAACAAAACCCAAAGTTAGTAGAAGGAAGGAAATAATAAAGATCAAAGCAGTAATAAATGAAAAAGAGACCAAAAAGACAATATAAAAGATCAATGAAAGAGCTGGTTCTTTGAAAAGATAAACAAAATTGATAAGCCTTTAGCCAGACTCATCAAGGAAAAAAAAAAAAAAAGGGTCTAAATAGATAAAATCAGAAATAAAACAGGAGAAATTATAATTGACACCGAAGAAATACAAAGGATAATAGGGGATTACTATGAACAATTATATGCCAACAAATTGGAAAACTTAGAAGACATGGATAAATTGCTAGAAATGTATACTCTCCCAAGACTGAATTAGGAAGAAATAGAAAATGTGAACAGACTGATTACCAGTAATGAAACTGAATTAGTAATTTTAAAAACTCCCAACAAAGTCCAGGAACCACACAAATTCTACAAAACATTTAAAGAAGAGTTAACACCTATCCTTCTCAAACTACTGCAAAAAATTTAAGAGGCAGGAAAGCTTCCAAACTCATTCTACAAGGTCAGCATCACCCTGATACCAAAACCAGACAAAGAAAATTACAGGCCAATATCACTGATGAATACAGATGCAAAAATCCTCAATAAAATATTAGCAAACCAAATTCAACAATACATACACCATGATCAAGTGGAATTTATTCCAGGGATGCAAGGATGGTTCAATATCAATAGCACAACATTAACAAATTGAAGAATAAAAATCATATGATCATCTCAATAGATACAGTAAAAGCTTTTGACAAAATTCAACATCCATTTGAGATAAAAACTCTCCAGAAATTGGGTAGAGAAGGAACATAATTCAACATAATAATGGCCATATATGATAAGTCCACAGCAAACATTATACTCAATGGTGAAAGGCTGAAAGCATTTCCTCTAAGATCAGGAACAAGACAAGAATGCCCCCACTCTTGCTACTTTTCTTCAATATAGTATTGGAAGTCCTAGATGCAGCAATCAGACAAGAAATAAAAGGAATCCAAATTGGAAAGGAAGAGGTAAAACTGTCCCTGTTTGCAGATGACATGATACTATACATAGAAAATCCTCAAGACACCACCAAAAAAATACTAGAGCTCATCAATGAATTTGTTGCAGGATGCAACATATACAGAATTCTGTTGCATTTCTGTACACTAACAACGAACTATCAGAAAGAGAAATTAAAGAAACAATCCCATTTACAGTTGCATCAAAAACTATAAAATATTGGGCTTCCCTGGTGGTGCAATGGTTGGGAGTCCGCCTGCCGATGCAGGGGACGCGGGTTCGTGCCCTGGTCCGGGAGGATCCCACATGCCGCGGAGCGGCTGGGCCCGTGAGCCATGGCTGCTGAGCCTGCGCATCCGGAGCCTGTGCTCCGCAGCGGGGGCCACAGCTGTGAGAGGCCCGCGTATCACAAAAAAAAAAAAAAAAAAAAAAAAAAAAAAACTATAAAATATCTAAGAATAAATCTAACTAAGGAGGTAAAAGATCTATACTCAGAAAACTGCGAGACACTGATGAAAGAAACTGAAGACAACACAAACTGATGGAAAGATATATCGTGCTCATGGATTGGAAGAATGAATATTGTTAAAATGACCATACTACCCAAGGCAATCTACAGATTCAATGCAATCCCTATCAAAATACCAATGACATTTTTCAAAGGATGAGAACAAATAATTTTAAAATTTGTATTAAATACAAAGGACTCCAAATAGACAAAACAATCTTGAGAAAGAACAGAGCTGGAGGTATCAAGCTCCCTAACTGATGTTACAGAACTACAGTAATCAAAACAGTATAGTACTGGCACAAAAAACAGACACAAAGATCAATGGAACAGAACAGAGAGCCCAGAAATAAACCTATGCACTTATGGTCAGTTAATCTAAGACAAAGGAGACAAAAACAGACAATGGAGAAACGACAATGTCTTCAATAAGTGGTACTGGGAAAACTGGACAGCTGCATGTGAAAGAATGAAATTAGAACATTTTCTTACACCACATACAAAAATAAGCTCAAAATGGATTAAAGACCTAAATGTAAGACCAGAAACCAGAAAAATCCTAGAAGAAAACATAGGCAGAACACTCTTTGACATAAATCATACCAATATTTTTTTTGGATCTGTCTCCTAAAGCAAAGGAAACAAAAGCAAAAATAAAGAAATGGGACCTAATTAAACGTAAAAGCTTTTGCACGGCAAAGAAAACCACCAACAAAATGAAAAGGCAGCCTACTGAGTGGGAGAAAAGATTTACAAATGATTTCTCTGATAAGGGGTTAATATCTAAAAATATACAAAGAACTCATTCAACTCAATATCAAAAAACAACCTGATTAAAAAATGGGCAGAGGATCTGAACAGACATGTTTCCAAGGAAGACATACAGGGCTTCCCTGGTGGCACAGTGGTTAAGAATCCACCTGCCAATGCGGAAGACACAGGTTCGATCCCTGGCCGGGAAGATCCCACGTGCCGCAGAGCAACTAAGCCCGTGTGCCACAACTACTGAGGTTGCACTCTAGAGCCCATGCTCTGCAACAAGTGAAGCCACGACAATGAGAAGCCCGCACACCGTAACGAAGAGTAGCCCCTGCTTGCCTCACCTAGAGAAAGCCCATGTGCAGCAACGAAGACCCAACACAGCCAAAAATAAAAATAAATAATTTTTTTAAAAAAGATAGTGAACTCTATATTATGTGTATTTTACCACAGTTTAAAAAAAAAAGAGAAAAAACAAATCAGAGCACAAGGAGACACTGCGTACTCGAGTCACCATAAGCACTGAGAATCCCAACTCCCTGCATCCGCCTGGAGTATGGAACTCTCCCTGGATCTGTCAGACTCGCTGGCTCAGGCTTCAGGAAGCCCAGGAACTTCCACCACAGAAAAGAACATTAACACTTGTCATCGTTTCTCTGAATGGACTGCAAAGCTCTCTGCCCCACCACAGTGCCATTCCTGCCCCAACTCCCCTCTTCAAGGCCTCACAGGCTCCTGAGCCGCCAGCTCTTCTCGAGGCCTCAACACAGTTCCTGCCAGAAAGGGGCCGAAACGGTTCAAGGAATAATAAGATCCCTTTGGCACCATTTTCACAACAAAGCAGCTGCTTTTCAAAGTAGGCGCCGTGCAATTGGACTACAGAGAAAGAAATCCTTCGGCACTGCAGCAACATGCTTGATTGCTCACAAAGGCAACTTCCTGACCCCTCAGTCACCTGAGGCCTCTTCCTGCCCTGTCCCTGCACCCGACCTCTCCCATATAAACCCTTTCAAGGAGGGAACACACCAACCCCATAAAAAGGGACAAAAAAGCACTTGGGGCTGGGGGGTGGGTGAGGGGTGTCTATTTCATAGCAGGACTGCTATTAATGTCAGTATTTAAACCAGATAAAAGTGAGGAAATGTGACAACCCGCTCACAGTGAGTTGGGAGGAGGTCTTATTACTGGGAGACTGTCTCCAAGCCATACACAAGTTGCCTTCTGGAGTAAATTCCGCACTTATTAGGAGACACCACTCGTTTTTCTTTCTAGAAGCAGTAACACAGCTCTACAGCCACAACATCCTGTCTTAAAAAGAACACATTAAGTGTTGAGAGAAGCTTTTCAAAAAGCAATAGGAGCAAAACAGAAAGGAAAGAATTATAACGCATAAACTGGCTGGAAATAACGAAGAAAGCTACGAAGACATCCAGGAAGTCTTCATGCTTTAGAGTTCTCACAATTTCTCCTTCTATCCTGATTAACCAACCCAAGCAGCAAAACCACAGAACATGACCTAGAAATACGAGATTTCAACTGTAAACATTTCAGAGTCCAACATCTGAAACTTAGCTAACTGCCTTAGTAGGCAACACCCAATTATAGGAAAAGGGGATAGATAGCCTTTGCAAAGACTCTAATTTGGAAAAGTATTTTGTCCAACTTCTGTGGCATACTCACTCTGAAACAGAGTGGATGATACAATCGTCCTATGAAATGTTCTGAACGTCACAAATGGCTAAACGGCTGCATGTGAAAGACAGCCGAGGGGCGCCTTCCCCGGTCACTTACCCTCACAGCCCAATGGGCCTCTGCAGAAGGCGGCGTGACCATCAAAGGGCTGCTGGTGTCGTGCTGAGGAGAAAGAGGTACATTGCACTGTAGCTGGCACAGAATTCTACTACTGGAGGATGTGTTCACTATCAGGGTACACATTTCAAAGTGCTTTCAAAAAGGAGAAAAACCTCAAAAAGTTAAACACAGGATTACCATATAACTCAGCAATTCTACTCCTAGGTATAGACCCAAAAGAACTGAAAACAGGTGTGCAAACAATTCCTTGTGCATGAATTATTATGTCCACCAACAGACGAATGGATAAACAAAATGGGATAGACCGCACAATGCAATCTTATTCAGCAACGTAAAGGAATGAAGTACTGACACATGCTACAATGTGGATGAACCTTGAAAACGTTATGCTGAGTGAAAGCCAGCTGTATGACTCTATAAAATGTCCAGAACAGGCAAATGCATAGAGACAGAAAGCAGATTAGTGGCTGCCAAGGGTTGGGGGAGGGGGAAATAGGGAATGATTATTTAATGGGTGTAGAGTTTTCTTTTGGGGTGACGAAAATATTCTGACCAGTTAGAAGTGATGGTTACCACAATATTGTGAATGCACTAAATGTCACCCAATTGTTCATTTTTAAACAGTTAATTTTAGATTATGTAAATTTCCCTGCAATTAAAAGAAAATTAAAAAGAGGGAGAGAGAAAACATGGAGAGATAGATAAATAGATATTAGAAGAACGTGAACTTGAAGGATTTTGACACTTACAAACTTAGGCGGCGGCATGTTCAAATTCAGATTGCTCAAGGTAACTTCGTGGCCGCTCTGTGCACAGGCCACTAGTCTCAGTGCAACATAGAAACCCTGTAAATCCAAAAAAGGGGGAGGCGTAAACCCCACCCAGCTGGCAGCGGCAGTGGCAGAGCTGTCTGCAGCAGTGGGCTTTGGGGAAAGAGGGATTTCAGTTTACTTCAACAAGGAAGACCACATGTGAGCAAGTCACTTACAGTGTTGAGCAGAACTGGTCTCACCCTGGGAGCACTGTTTAAATGAATATGCTAAAATGGACTTAGCCCATTGCTTTCTGAACACCGTAAAATTTCAAATAAATGTATTTTCAAATAAATGTATTTTCAAAAATAATCTCAACATTTAGGAAATGCTAGACTGTAAAAGTAGCAGACTGCAGTTTAAGAGTCTAAAGGATGGTTCAAATATGCGTTGACTTTTAAAAAATGGTTTGAAATAGACACAGTTGTTTGGGAATTGACACTCGCGATTCCCTGGGATGCCCCTGGCCTCACTGAACAGAGCATCTCCCACTCACCCTCCCTACTCCCCAATGGCCTGACGTGGACTTCACTTCCCACATAAGGACAAAGGACCTGAACCAGGCCAGCAGGGCCCTTGGCTCCTCCTCGCCCTCCTCCTAACCCAGAACTGGCCATGCCACAGTCTTAGTGGACTCGTGTGGCATCACCTCGTTTTTTTTAAATTGATCAACGGGCCTAAGCACATGGACTCTTTTTAAAACTGTAAACACAATTATGGTTTTAAAAACTTCTTCAAAGAGATGAGCACTAGAGCAGCTTTTCTCAAGCTGATGTCTACAGAATGCCCGTGTAGAGTGTAGAGAAATGGGGACATTAGTAAGGTTAGAAGAACTGCATTAAGCAAAGTTAACAGGGCTCTCTTACACAAAGATCCTCAGAACCCTTAACACACAGATGTGTACTGTGAATCTCAAGCGAGGGAGGAAAAGCTAACGGTGCTTTCCCGACGGGTCGGATCACGGACAGTGAGACACCAGGAACAACATCCCTTGGAATATAGTTTGGGGAAAGACTGAACTAAATTAAAATATGACCATTTAAAAATCATAAGTACTATAACATTCCATTTATAGAACATTCTCAAAATGACAAAATTATGTCAGAGAAGGAACCAGTGGTTGCCAGGGGTCAGGGTGTGACTACCAATGGGCTACATGAGGGAGACTCTGGGGTCTGAGAATGTTCTGATCCTGACTGTTGTGATGGTTACGTGAATCTATGCAAGTGATGAAATTACATAGAACTATATACAACAGAAACAAAAACCACAAGAAAGTGCAGGTATCAATAAAACTGGTCAGCTCTGAGTCAGGCTTCTGAGCAGTGTGCTTTGGTGAGAGCTGGAAAATGATACACGGGAACTCACTGAACTATTTTTTGCAACTTCCATGAGAGTCTGAAGTTATTTCAAAATAAAACGTTTTGAAAACATTTCAACTGCTTGTAAGCACACAAAATATACCAGATACGCTAACCATGAAAGATGGCTCCAAGAGTTCAAAAGACCTTTATTTCAAAATGAAACCTTCCCATTTTAACAGTCTGATGTCCGCACTTATGACCAGTAATACTTGTCAGTGGAGACAACGAGGAAGGAAGTGGAGAGGTGACCCGGCCTGGGGGCTCTGGCCCAGCCCCTCCACTTGCTCTGTGTATACGGGTATATACCTGTTTGTCCAAGAACCCTTTACCTTCTGGGTCGGCCAAGTCCCATATCTGTGGAAACACAAAAATGCTCGTGAGTGCGACCGGCTGATCATTGACTGTTTAATCACAAAACAGGAGCCACCATCGCTACATGTGGGCCTTATGTATAGGCCACAGCAGCCACAGATTCAGAACAGGTGAATAGCTTTCACCCCTCCCTCCCCCCAGGGGCACACAGCGGTCAGTGGCAGAGCCCAGAGAACACCCAGGTACACCTGGCTCCAAGGCCAACATAAATCCACAGCTATCAAGATCCCAAGAGCACTCAGGCCTCTTGTCTGCTATGCAAGCAAAGGGTGGCAGTAGCCATCAGAGCACTTGGATCTACCAATTACAGACCCGAGAGGCTCACAAAGGCCAGCTCACTTCCAAGGGAAGTACAGACCGCATGAAGAGGGGTCTGCACAGGCCGGCCTTCACCTGCCGGGAGAGCCCTGAGGGCGGCCACAGAAATCGCTATCATTCATCACATACCTTCCCAAGGATAATGTCTGAGAGCCCAGACTTCTTTAGAAAAAGTGCAGCTTCACTCGCCCCAACTCGCCCTGTGTATGCTGGGTCTACCTGGAATTGGGGAGCAACACTTGAGACAAGGCTTCAGCAACAGAGCAGCAGGTAAAAGCATTACCCATGACACTGGCTGCTAGCTGATAATTTGGAAACAGAAAGGGATGAAAGGCCTTACTGGGCTGCAATTCACAGCTGTGGTTTCTGAGTCACTCACTCTAATTTCAATCCAAAAAGACACTAGTGAAAACTTACCTGCTTATAATAAGATTCATATAATGGATTTCCAGTGGGAATCTGTAAACAAAACCACAGATATTGGTCAAAGGTGGACACAAAACCCTTCCAAAAAAAAGTGTCCCTCAATTCTGTTATCACCAAAATACACAATAATGAAAATCAAAATTTATGCACTTTAAACGTCCTCTATACGTGGACTGTAGTTTATTTTCAGGGATAACACACTTACTTGATTTAGAAAAAGGAAATGTTAATGCTCTTAAATAATCCCGATTCCAACACAAACAACACAGTCGTTCAGGAAGGAGCAGCAGACCAGAGTCGTTTTCTATTCACTGACCGATGGGATTTCGGTGTGTCCAGGAGCTCAGAGGGAAAAGACACCCTTATCCTTTGAGATCGTTCTCTGGCTCCGGAACCAGAACAGGAGTTTCTGCACATCATCATGAATCACCAGTCACAGAAGCTTCAGACTGGTTTCCCTGCTCCAGGTCTCATCCCCACCCATCTCGTCCTCCACCAGCCGCCCACCCAAGGGCTGCGCAAAAACCACTGACCAGCCCCAGCCGCCAGGAGAGAGCTGGCCAGTGACTGCTCCCACAATGACAGGCAGGAAGTTCAAAATCCTCAGCTTGGCACCGAAGACACTCCATGTTCCAGACATTACAGATTCCCCAAGATGTCGCTGTTCAGAGAAGGTAACCACCCAGTCTAGGATCAAGCGGCAAATTGAGGCCACGCCTGGATTCAGCCTGGTTGGCGGCCAAACCCTCACACATCCCACCGTGTCACGGTCTCTCTTCCCAACCTCAGCAAGCTGCCCGCCAGTGGGGAGGAGGGGATCTGCAGGAGTATGCCAGCAGGGGTAGGAATTCAGCAGCCACTAAGATGTTAGCTGTAAAGGCTTACACGTGTTGGTTTTTTACCTCATGAAGGGAAAAAAGCAGGACATGGCTAACTTGCCATTGATTTAGTGAGCAAGAAAAGTGAAGAAGACACCATTATGCTTAATCTTATGGAAGAACTGGTGTGTAAACAGGTGAAGAGAAGAATGCCAGGAAAAATGAGTACCAGATGAGAGGCGGGATGACAGTGTTTATTTTAAAAGTCTTTGAATGCTGTTGTGCAACTTTTCATAATGAATAAAACTGGGGGGGAGGCGGGTTCCCTTCAGTTACAATCGCTGATTTGAACCAGCCCAACACTTGCCCAACTGTGCTGTAAAAAGTCATTTCAGGTTAAAAATAATGCCCAGATTACGGTCAGCTCCTCTGGAGGATGCCAACACCTGCAAATGCAGAAAGAAGCGAAAGTACAAGAACACCAGCAAGAGAGAAGGAAAACAGAAGGAAAAGAGCAAAAAGATCTAAAAGGCAGCAGAGGAAAGTCAAAAAAAAAGAAAAACGGGAAAAGAAAGAGGGAAATCCTGAAAAGGCAGAAAAAGCTAAAAAGCTAGGCAGAACAATGTGAAAAAGCAAGAAAGGAGGGTAAAGGCCAATGGCTTGAGAAACAAAAGGCGACAACACCAATAAGAAGAAATGAGAGCTAAGTGGGGAATTCCCTGGTGGTCCAGTTGTTAGGACTGCGCTTTCACTGCCGTACTAAGATCCTGCAAGCCGCATGGTGCAGCCAAAAAAAAAAAAGAGCTAAATGTACAGCTACAGCAGCTCCCTGGAGGGAGGGTTCCTCCTGCCCTGGGCCCTTGTGTATACCGTCCTGGGGGAGGCTGTCGCCTTTAGCTTCTTATGACTTAGATGGCAATGTCCACCATCACACCCTGTTTGATCTCCAGGGTTTAAAACCCCACATGAACTCATACAACTCAATAGCAAAAAAACAAACAACCCAATTAAAAAATAGGCAGAGCATCTGAATAGACATTTTTCCAAAGAAGACATACAGATGGCCAACAGGTATGTGAAAAGATGCTCAACATCACTAATCATCAGGGAAATGCAAATCAAAACTACACTATCTCACCTCACACCTGTCAGAATGGCTAGCATCAAAAAGATAAGAAATAACAAAGTGTTGGAGAGGGCGTGGAGAAAAGGGAACCCTTGCACACTGTTGGTGGAAATGCAAATGGGTACAGCTGCTATGAAAACAGTATGGAGGTTCCTCAAAAAGTTAAAAACAGAACTACCATATGATTCAGCAATTTCACTTTTGGGTATTTATCCAAAGGAAATGAAAACACTAAGAAAAACAAACAAACAAACAAACAACAACTCCATGTTCACTGCAGCATTATTTTACAATAGCCAAGCATGAAAGCAACCTAAATATTTACTGATCGCTGGATGAACAGATAACGAAAATGTGGTGTGTACACACACACACACTCATGCACACAGAGAAATATTATTCAGTCATTAAAAAGAAGGAAATCTTGTCATTTGTGACAATGTGAATGAACCCTGAAGACATTATGCTAAGTGAAATAAGTTAAACAGGGAAAGACAAATACTGGATGATCTCACTTATATGTGGAATCTAAAAAACAAAAACAAGAAACCAAACTCACAGATACAGAGAACAGATGGGTGGTTGCCAGAGATGGGAATAGGGGGTAGGTGAAATGGGTAAAGGTGGTCAAAAGGTGCAAACTTCCAGTTATAAAATAAGTAAGTCATGAGATATAATGTACAGCATGGTTAATATAGTCAATAATACTGTACTGTATACTGAAAGTTGCTAAGAGTAGATCTTAAAAGTTCTCATCACAAGAAAAGAGATTTTATAACTATATGGTGATGCATGTTAAGTACTGTGATCATTTCACAACGTGTATAAATAGCAAATCATTACATCGTGCACCTGAAACTAATATAATGTTATATGTCAACTATAACCTCAATTTAAAATAATTAACTAATTAAAATTAAAAAAGCTCTGCATGCTTTCAAAACACATCTCCCCGGAGAAGTAAGGCTGACAGAGGAAGCAAAGTCAGGCAGGCTGTCTGTCATCTATCAGTAAAGGTAACCGTGCTGGGTCTAGATAGCACATCCTGTGCCCTGGCTCATAGAAATGGAATGCAGAGACCCTAGGGACCCCCACCTTGACAAAGGTCCCCTTCCTGCCAGCAATCAGAGAGGCACAGGTCTGAAATGCATTTCCAGTGGGATTTTTTTTAAGATCTCATGGTAAGCAAGAGAGAGGTTTCCAAGCTACTACGATTCCAATGAAAAAAAGTTACGATATTTGGAGCATAGATGGTTAGTAACTGTCTCAAACTTCCCAAACGCTTCTGAACTAGATCCATAATTAGGAGGAACAAGACCCCAAATAGTCCAGAAAAGGCTCTGAAGCCCCAGGCCCAAAGCTTGGACCATCGATGCTAAAGGCTCATCCTATAGACAGTCTATGGCCAAGTGTTGATCCCAAATGACCTACAACTAACGGAAAACCACAGAATATGCCTCACCCATTCCTCTCTAAGTACAGGAATCAATTTGGGTAACCTGGGACAATGACAGCAGTGAAAGGTTCTGATTTAATTACACATACCTCAGGCACTACATAAGCAGAAGGGGGAGTAAAGGGAGAACACCAACAGATCTAATGGCACTTCCTCTTACCACACTACTTCCTCCTGGCGACAGCGGAGTCACACCTGCAAGCTGCCCAATACACCGTTGCAACAGAGCTGAGGATGAATGCTGCTAAGGCCTCGAGTCCCCAAGTGACGGGCAGAGACCTTGGACACAAACAGCTTGTTGGTGCAGGCAGCCGCTCTGCTGGGACAGAGCCCTCTGAGAGCTGAGAGTGGGCACCAGAGCTGCCCACCTCTGCCTAACCCCAAAGCGAGCCCAGGGGCAAAGGTAGAAAGAGGACAGGCCAGGGGACAAGGCCTTCAGTGTAAGGGCTGCAGACAGCTCTGAGATGGCTTCAAGAACGGACGGAGCCGGCCCAGGAGGGTGTTCTTCTCCACCAGCCCACTGTGCTAAGACGCCATCTTTGACTCTGAATTATTCATTGAAGTTCAATATAACTTTCAATGTGATCTTTCAGTTGATCTCCTAAAATACTAAGAAAACTTCCTGTGGCCTCTTCGCTCTAACCTCCACCCCAGAGGCAACCTACAAATGGGGAGACTGGGAGGGCAGCACATCAGGGAACAAGTTCACATCCTTCTGCTGGGAGGCCTTTAAACTCCACAGTTGATGCAAGTGTGCACAATTTTAATGCTGGAGAAAACCAGCTTGAGGTGAGGAACATAGCAGTACTACTTTGGAGGGGAAACCCTAAGGACTGGGGTTCTGGCCACACCTAACCCTCTCAGGATTGAGTCCATCCAGCTCTCTGATTCCTGCTTTCATCCTCCATGGGCAGAAGCTCTTATGCAAAACAAAGCAATGATCGCTGGCCTTGCTTGTTTCAAAATGACATTTGTAAAGCAAATTAATTTTCAATTTAAAACTTTTAGAAAAGTATAATTCCTTGTTCTGATAAATAGTGGATCACATTTACTGAGCCTCACTATTTTCTATCCTGTACCTCATTTAATTGTCCCAAACAATGCTATGGGCAGGTACTACTGTTCGTCCCAATTTATGGGTGAGGAGACTGAGGTTACCTTGCTCAGGGTCACACAGCCAAGGAGTGACGGAGCCAGAGGAGACCCAGGCCATGTGGCACTAACCTACTCTGCACCCTGCAAAAACAGCCCAGGCATGACAGAGCCAGACACAGGGCCACTGCACAGCCTCCCGTGCATGCTCACCTAAGAAAAGGCAAAACACGTGATTATGTCATGGTACATTTTATTCAACAGACATGGTCAAAGTGCAAGACTTGACTTAAGCATATGAACTAACTTGAAAACCAGCACAGCCTGCCATTTCCTCAGGAAAACTGAGACCCCATAACGGCTGTGTTTTTCAAAGCTGTTGCCAAGTTTTGCAGGAAGTTAGGCACTTTACACCAAAAGACATCCCTGTCTGAGTTCCTCCTTGGAAAGCAAGATGCTGACTCAAAAACAAGGCTAGAGAAGTGCTCACTTGATAATCCCTGCATTTCACCTTCCACTTAGAGATAGTTCCCCTCACTATTTGCACAACCATTACCTTGGCGGTGCGCACAGCCCTCCAGGCAGGCCGGACCACATTCTGCAGGTAAGGAAACCAGGACATAACTCAGTAGCACTCAAAGAGCATCAGCAAACACTGGGGCATCCTGAACCTCCCTGAAACTGACAGCTCACTCCAACTGCCAGATGAGAAGTTTCTAAGCCAGAGCTAAGGTGAACACTGCCAAGAGAACTGAGACATGAGAAAGAGCTTTCATAAATCCTGAAGAAAAAGACACCCCAATTTAAAAATGAGCGAAGGATAAGAAAAAGGTGATTCGGAAAGAAGAGATGCAGCAAAGTTAGGGGAGATGTTCAATTTAGGTACAGCAAAATAGAATGAAATACCAGTTGTTTGCTATCAGGTTGGCAAAGTCAAAGAGAGGTGCCATGCAGGGTTGGCAAAGCTGGAAACACATCTTGGGCCCTGCCAGTGGGAAAATAAACTGAGTGGAATGGCCTTCTGGAGGGCAATGCAACAGCATGTGATAAGCAGGCTTAACGTGATTCTTTGTTGATACAGATAAGATTACTCCAAAATTTATACAGAAAGGCAAAGGAGTTAAAACAATGTTGAAAAAGAATAAAGTGGGA